ATGCCTAATCAATCTGTCAGATATCAAGCTCATCACGATAACATACCTTGAATGACTTCTTGAGCCACGTGCTCGAGGTACTGCATTCGGAATTCTTCTCGGGTGAGTCCATCTGGGGGAGGCCCCAGAAAGGCAGCAAGGCGTTCACGCAAATGGGTCTTCACATGCGCCTTGAACTCCGACCACAAGTTTTCGATCGGGTTGAACATGGGGGAGTACGAAGACAAACGCAGTAGCGTTGCACTGTCGAACTCCGCCTCTTCAAAAACCTGCTCCAACCTAATCGTATGTTAAAATCAAATCTATCAACACTCATACCGGGAGTGACAAGGAGCATTGTCTGCAATAACGATAATGTCGTCGAGTCGTCCAAAGTGTTGAGTCGCCGCACGCAACATATCACGCAGCCAAAGGTTGGCGTCTTGGTGCTTGTACGCCCCACGCTTGTGGGTGCAGAAAAAGAAGTTGGCAGACGACATCGCACCGATCACATGGAGATTCTTCCCCTTTTGCGTCCCGCCGCGCACAACGACAGCGCGTGTTCCACGTCGAGAGCGTGCCTTGGTGCGGCAAGTGAACAAGTTGAAGTTGGTTTCGTCAATCCAGATGGGGATCTTTCCTTGACCCATCAGCTCGCGAAACGCCACAACATACTCGACGCGCTTGTCCTTGAACGATGGATCGTTCATCTGGAGTGGCTCGTAGTGGACGGTCTTGTATGTGAAGACGCGCTTGTCCAGTTCGCGATGAAGAGTTGTCTTTGAGACATTGATGCCCAGCTCAAGCATCAAGCGATCTTTCATCTCTTGAAGCGTGATCTGGGCATCGAACTCGACCCAACTCTGCGCGAGATCGATATTCTCCGGTGTCAAAACCTTAGGTCGGTTTCCGCCTAACCAAGACCTGTTAGAGTGACATAAAAGATGTTCTACCTCGTTTCTTCGGCGTGAGCGAATCCAAATGAAGCCAATTGCGAGCAGTGCTGATGTTGACCCCATTAGCTACGGCGACTGTCTTCCAGTCTTTCGCATTGTCAAATGCGTTCACGATGCGGCGCTTCGCTGACGTGGGGATCCGCTTGTACGTGCGCCGCAGTGGCTAGCAATACAGTAAGCATGAGAGGTCGGTGAACTTCTTACCCGTGTTTGAGGCGCTTGTTCGTCCATGGCTTGCCTGCTTTGCGCGATTTTAGAAAGTGAGGAAAAGCGCGCGAAGATCTCTCATAGATACTCTAGAATGTTCGAAAATATCAATTCTACCGATTCAATTGCACTCATCATTAAATCCAAGAGATGGACGGTTGTTTGTTTGGGTGGATGCCGAGTTTAATGGTTTATGTACCAAATCCATTGGACACACGAGCTGCATGTGCCGATTCCAGTGATCGCGTACCAAATACGTGGACGCAAATGCAAATCCATTGGATGCATGAACAAATCAATTGAAAATTTGTCTGTTACACCTGTTTCAATAGAAAATAGGTGTAGTACTTCATAAGAAAAAGGATGCACCTAAAAGGACAATAGAACTAACTGTAGGGTTAAAAGTCAAATACACCCCGATGTATATTAATATAAAGGTGTACTACGAAGTACTACTCTGTCCCAAATTACCTCCGCGTTTCAACTTGGACATGCCCCGAAATTTGTATCGTTTACTCAATTGCTACGATTTTTTTACCAATCAGAAGCGGTGAATTCGGCGGTGCGCCTAATGGTATTTATATTACATCCTTTTTGTATGGTGTGCCCGAAATTATCAAAATAAAATCGTCACTCATCACAGAATTTAAACCACTCACCGGACTTGAATAATGCATGGCCAAACACTCCCGCACCAGCCAAAGCATTAATATATAGAGGTAATGTAACCTCCAGAATATAATTATCCAATGTGGTTACACGACGTACATTTGCCAAATGACACGCTCAAGCCATGAAGACATGTCTGCAGGAACCAAGATGGCCATGCTCGTCGACTTGAGAACCACCGTCCAAAACAACAAGCTACCACACGGCACGTTCACACGCCTCGCGACCAAGTACGGCTGCCATCGCTCCACCATCACGGCAATGTGGAATGCTCAAACGGTCAACAACAACGACGACAACAATGGATCCATCCACGCTCTCCACAACAAGCGACAAGGTCGTTGTGGCCGTCCACGGATAAGAAATGAGGACGTTTTGGACGCCGTAGCCGGTGTGGACGTCCAATTTCGACAAACGATACGCAGCACCGCGCACCACGCATCCATGTCTAAATCCACGCTCCATCGTCGCGTTCAAGAAGGGCTGCTGGACAGACGATCCAGAATCTCAAGCCAGCCCTCACTCAGGCGCACATGAGCTCTCGGCTGGAGTTTTGCCTGTCAAACGTAACTCAACGCGATCCAACTCAATCTGCGTTTGAGTTCCGCGACTTCGACGATACCATACACGTTGACGAGAAATGGTTCCGTATGGACAAGGACGCGCGGGGGTTTTACCTAACGTCGAGCGAAGATGCTCCCGAGCGACGAACACAGAACAAGCGATTCATCGGCCAAGTAATGTTTCTAGCCGCGGTTGCTCGACCTCGATACGACAGCCAGCGAAACCAGCACTTTGACGGCAAGTTGGGCATTTGGCCGTTCGTTACCCAAGCTCCTGCCCTGCGCTCATCAAGAAATCGACCAGCGAGCACCCTCGAAACCAAATGTGTCAGTGTCTATCGAGCTGCGTATCGGGAGATGCTCCTAACGAAGCTGGTGCCTGCGATTGTGGCGAAATGGCCTCGCAGTGTGAAGTGTATCAGACTCCAACAAGACAACGCTCTTGCGCACGTGGCGCCTGGTGTACTTTGGCCACAAGGGGCATTGAGCTTAGTTATTGAGTGCCAGCCGCCCCGAAGTCCGGACCTAAACCTGTTAGATTTGGGTTTTTTCACTGCGATTCAGTCATTGCAGCAAACGTTGGTGGCCCGAACACCGGATGAGCTTATATGCAATGTCAAAGCTGCATTTGTTGAGCTCAACGTAGAAACATTAGATAACGTATTCTACTCGTGGATGTTATGCATGGAGCAGATAATGCTTTGTGCTGGTGGGAACGACTATTCCATCCCTCATATCGGGAAAGCTCGTTTGAGACGCTTGGGTCAACTACCTCGTCAACTTGCATGCTCAAATGAGACAGTTGTCGCTGCACGAAGTACAATTGTCTGATTTAGGGCAAATTTAAATACTATCTCGTAATAAAAATGATTTTGCGTCTGAACGCGTACCGAAACGCGGAGGAAATTTGGGACAGAGTACAGTAGTACTAAGCTTACTGTTAGTAAGTTACTACATATTTAGTACTTGAAGTATAATACTACCTCTGTCCCACTTCCAATGCCTGGTTTCAAATATCAATAATCCCAGTTCAAGTGTCGTGATTTTATTCCATTGGCCAAAACGACGCTAGACCTATGTTAATTGGACAAAACTGTTTACCATTCCATGGACTGCATCCCGCCGGTCCATTATTGGGGCATCTACAGTCTGTAGGCAGACGCCGTGTATGAGTGCTCAGATTTTATCGCCAGGACATACAGAAGCTTTGTGATGTCAAGCTAGTGTTGGCACGACTGGTGTCTTGCAACAAGTTCCTCATCTTGAGGAAGTCGTTGTCCACGACTACCTCATGCCGTAGGTGTCGAACTTCAATGTCCTGTACTGTGTACATACCATACTTTATTCAAATGAAACAAAATAAAAAACCATGAGATAGTAAAACAAGGATATTTTGCGTATTTCGGAACGGAATGTCCTGAATTTGGCCATCGTCGACTCATAACGCTCAGAGCATTCCATTTCTACCAATTACAACTCTGTACGATTTTTGCTGGAATTTTAAAACCGAAAGTAAAAAACCACGACATGCGAAGTGGGACAGAGGTACTGTAGTAGTATTTATAGCAGCCGAATTAACACAATATTCATGATTAAAATACCTTGGTGTTTCTATGTCGTTAAAACAAAACTCGAATAAGTTGTATCGAACCGTCGCGATCTTTTTGGACGATTGCCTGGTTCACCACCATGCTGCCGTCGTTCAAGCTGCATATGCACCATGCCATCTTGGATCGTCTGGCCAAGGTGGGCAAGTATGACGGCACACATCCGTCGTTGACGTGTGGCACGTCGAGTGGCAAAGTGTTCCTCCACAACCCCCACGACAAGAACGAAGACGACGCCGCGCAAGCCGTGCGCTTCCTCAACATCAATCGAGACGTGTCGGCGCTGTGCGTGGGCAAATTTCGCGATCAGGACGCCGGCGACACGCTCATCGTGGGCACCCATGCCAACATCCTCGGGTACAACGTCGAGAAGAACTCGGACGCGTTCTACAAGGACGTCCCGGACGGCGTCAACACGATGCTGTTTGGGACGCTGCCCAACATCCCGTCGAGGATGGTCATGGTTGGCGGCAACTGTTCCATTCAGGTACGAGCGGAGATAACGCCATCCATTCGTGAGCTTTCTTGATGTCGATCATCGTTGACGTAGGGATTCGATCGCGAAGGCAACGAAACGTTTTGGACGGTCACGGGGGATAACGTGACAGCGCTGGCTCTTTGTGACGTCTCCGGTGTGTGTGTCGATTCATCCAAAGTGATAACGTCATGTACGTCATAGGTCGTGGCAACGAGGAGCTCGTGGTCGGCTCGGACGACTACGAAATCCGAGCATTCCAAGCTGAAGACGTCGTGTGCGAATGCAGCGAAACGGGGAGGATCGTCGACTTGACGTCCATTCAAAGGCACTTGTTTGGGTACGCGCTGGACAACGGCACCGTCGGCGTGTACAAGAACAGCCACCGCGTGTGGCGCGTCAAGTCCAAGAACATCCCGACGTCCATCACCGCGTTCGACATCAACGGCGACGGCGAGCTCGAGGTACGATGCTGCTGTTGTGTGCGTTCGAGTCTTTTTGCATATATGTGGTTGGCGTTGTTACGATTAGAATGATATATACACTTGTGGTTCTGATGTGTGCTGCTACTACCACATACAGTGTGGTGGTACTACATACTAATGTGGATTGCCAGTAAAGAGTGCCTGTTGCCAGGATGTCAGAGGCAGTAGTAGTAGTATTGGTTATATATGAAAGCTATTGCTATCCTTCAGGAATGTGAAGAGGTGTCCAAATTAAGAGAGTTTTGCCGTATAAATCAAAGAGTTCGGTGGTTCTAATGTGTTCTACCTACGATATCAAACATCGCATGGTTTCACTGCTGATATCCAAGATGTTCAAATCGTGGTGGTGGTGTGAGATCCATGGCACTATATTTGAATTTGCATCAAATATAGTATACTTGGTAGTATTCTGATATACTAATGAATTGATTACAACAATGATATATATACATATACCGATGATCGTTCAACGAGGCAATCACGATATGTACGACGATTTGGTGGTAGATTGTGATCGGGTGGAACAATGGCAAGGTGGAGGCGCGAAGCATTGCGAATGGCGCGGCCGTGTATCGCGATCACTTTGCGTCGCCCATCGCGGCCGTGCTCACGTCGGACTATCGCTTGAGAGGCAACGCCGAAGTCCTTTGCTGTGCCACGGATGGCGAAGTACATCATACACCTGTGAAAGGGTATATGACATTCCTATATTTGATGTAGGTTCGGGGGTATTTGTTTGAAGGCAATGCGCCCGATGGAACATCCAAAGATGGAGGCGGCGCGGCCACGTCGCTGCTCGCGGACGAGATCTCGGCCGAAGAGAAGGAGGTCCAGGCACTGATCAAGGCCAAGGCGGGGCTTGTGGGCCAGCTCAAAGCGTACGAAAACGCTAGTTTGAAAACCACCAAAGGCACCAACGTGCGCGTCGCCACCACTACCAAGTACGACCACCTAATCAAACTTGATTTGTATGGGTTCAACCGAGTGTGTGTGTCTACTCTGGTCAAACTATATTTGCTTACATCGTGTTAGTTGCTATGATGGCTAGTAGTTAAGTATATACGTAACACCGCAAATCGCTAGCGCATTTCAGGATATACATATCCATATTGTGGATTCGGTACAGATATATATATATATTTATACACATATTTACCCATTTACGAAACAAGATCAACACTCCGATAGTGAAGTCTATATATATATATATATCCAGACCCCATCGAATCGAATCTGATTTGGTGAATCGTATCACGAATCGACGCGACTAGCTACTAATCCATTTTTGAGTGGATTTGATTGGCTCTAGTAGAAAGGACAAGTATATTCAACCAATCACAACTCCAGCGTGTTGATTCAATATTGATTAGACAAACCACGCGATGTTTGCAAGTTTATAGCGAATATCACACAATATATATAGATGGGATTTTACAACGGAGCTACATTATAGCTAGTCTGACGGACCTATGTGTGTAGGATTGCGATTACGGCGTCGACGACCATCTCGCATGAAAACGTCGAGCTCACCGTGTCCACGGAAAACGAGAGTGTGATCAAGGTCATCGTGACGTTATCATACTTCTTGCCATAATAGTAGATGACGTGATCACATCATATTCACGTGATGTAGATGATTGTTATCTTTGACTACGACGCCGGCATTTTCGACGGCGAGTCGCTCGTGATTCGACCCGCGACACCAGCCCCCAAAGCGACGGTGCAGCTGCCCACGCTCAAGAAGAACGTCGCCGCGACATTGCACTTTCGCGTGCTGGTGACGTGATCACGTCTCAACCTGTTTGAACGATCACGTCATCATACGTAGGTGGGCAATCGCGGCAACGGCAACGTGTTCCACGTGTTCGAAGAAACGTTTGCACTGCCCAAATTCGCCGACTTTTTCCCGCTCAAAGCGGCGCCGCCGGTCCGGCCATCGGGGTGCGTCAAGTTTAAAAGACCGATTCGCATGCAACAAGTACAACGTACGAAACGTTTGCTACGCGTTTCAAACATCCCCATCTGTTTAGTTTACAGCGTGGGTCAAGGCGTCGTTTTTGCAAACGGACGTCCTGCGCGTGTCTGAAACGGACGTGGACTTGTACTTTAAAAATGTCGGCGACAATTCGTTGCTGTCGATTTCCACGACGGCCACCGACGTATGCAAGCAACGAATGCAAGCAACGTTCATATATATATATATATACACGTGTTAGATGGAAATCCGAGTCGAAGACATGTCTGTGGCTGCTGAAATGATTCAAGACATGTGTCGGGCACTGCAAGTACGTCGGTTTGCTGTTCGGAACGCCGTCTGATACGCATGATCTTGATTGTTCGATACATTTGTTTAGATTGACGACCTCGAGTCTGTGGCCGAATTCCCAGAGCAATTGGCCGACTTTCGAGAACTACTTGTGCGGGTAACGACTTTTCCTATTTATTATTAACTATGGATGGGTGTTGCTGCGAAACGAACGAGTCGTTTACAGCAACGCCGGAATAAACAAATGGTTGTTCATAATCATATAACGATGGAGTAGGTGGACGACTACAACAGCATTCGCCTTAAGTTGACCGGAGATATGGCCGACGATTCGAATCAGCTCAAACACTTGGTCATTCGTGCCGAAGACGCACGCATCCTCCACGACATGTATGCAAATATATATACTTGCCCCCATTTCAAAATTCCTAGCATTCATCATATATAGTATTTAATACGAGTATATATATATATAATACATATGCACTCATCCCAATTCCTATCATTCATCATGTATATTTAATAATAATATATATGCAATATATATATTTATATATGTATTGTCTCTGTTGACGAATGACCTTTTGTTGTGATTTTGAATGTGTGTATCATCAACAGGGCGAGTATGCGGTCATATTACGCCGAGCTGTTCACGTTAAACAACCAGCTCTTGGGCGAGTACACCAAGCGCGCGACCAACCACCAGGCGCTGCTGGATGCGCTCAAGGATGTGAACGGCATGATCCAACTGGCGGCCCGTCTGCGCCATGGCCAGCCCAAGTCGGCGGTCATTCTGGCCTGCCGCAAGGCCATCAAAGCCAACAACATCCACGCGCTGTTTTACATTGTCAAGACCGGTCGGGAAGAGTCGAGATAAGGTTCTCTACCTCTCGAGTTTGCACATTCAAATAGCCACATCACATGTATCAGAAAATACAAACGCTAGCTTTGTGTACCGATAACTAGTACTTCGCGGCGGCTGTGGTTGTTGCCATTATGGGGACAGGGGGGTCGTGAAACCGCATCATTGCATGCTCATTTAGAGTACAACAACCATCCATACATTACACCATCATATGCAGTCGCGGGGCTATTTCCGCTTGGATTCCTTCGCACTCTCGTCGTCGTCGTCATCCTGAAAGAACGCCTTCCCTTCATCCCCCGTTGCTTCCTCGTCGACTTCGTCCACTCGCTTCTCGTCCCCTTCAGACTCCTTGGTCGAGCTGCTGCTGATTTTGCGCTTGGCGGCTGGCTTAGGCTCGGCCTTAGCCCGTCGACGCATAAACTTCATCAGGTTGAAAAATGCTTGGTAGTCCATCGATGCCAGCACCACCTCGAGGTACTCGCTGGCCTTTTGGTCGTTCTTGACCGCCTACTTACACCAGCCACACAAGCAATCCAGATGATCAAGTCAAAGGTCCAAACGCTTGCGATTGCATTGGCAAAAGACGTACCGATCGGCAGCGCTTGCCAAACTCAGCTTCCGTGATGCTGTGCTTGTCGTAGAACTCTACACAAACCCATTACATGCTTATCAAATGAAGAGCGCAAGGGCAGCAGCTCGTACGTTTCATAAAGTCTTCAAAGAGGTCCTGGAATTGCATAAACAGGTCGGTGTATTCGAGCTTGTGCTCGTCGTCGTCGCTGAACCGAAGCGCGTGCTTGAGGAAGAACGCTTCGAACGTTGATTGAAAGTCGGCGCCGGCAATGTACAACATCAGTTCCCGGATCATTTCGTCCTGAATGTGTCCAATGTCCATGGCGCGCACGTCCTTTTCACTCGTGTACGTCGTCGTTGTCGGCGGCGGCATGGTAGAGTGGTCTCCGGACTGCCGTTTCAGATATGTAACTGCGTCCACGTGAGGTTGTAATTGGCGGTTACAGCCCCCCTTTACAAGATCGTCAGGGAACCCCACGACACAAGTGGGTTGCATAGCGGGGGGAGTGCGATGTCATGTAGCGCATGCATGGTGCTATGTCCTAAGCCCTATGATACGGCGGTGGATTCTAGCCCAAGGTGGTCTTTAGCCTCGGGTTTTACGAGCGCCAAGCCATTAACTTTCCACATGTCGATGCTTTCTACGGCACTTTAGCCTGGGGCGTTTGGATGGCATTAAGCATTGCTGCCCATCTTCACATTCCCGTGTCATGCTACCAACCACCAGCCCGCGTCCGACCAAGGAAGGCAGCAGCATCAACCAGCGCAATATGACTAAACGAACGATTGGGTGTGTCAGTGCCATCATTGTGGCCGTGGGGCTGATCGGATTGGGCTTGTGGCTCGCTAGCCAACGCACTGCCACTCCAAAGTAACGCAACGATCCTCCAACACCCAGTGGATCTATGTACTCCCGCGGCCAAACGAGTGTCCGGTAGTGGTACACCAGTGTCTTTATAAACACTACTACAACTCGGTTTCTGTACGCTTCGACATCAGGTGATTCGAAGGGTTATGTTGCCTTCGTTATGGAGTATTGACCACGATATCATGGGCATGGCAAAGATAACAAACAGTTTGAAGATTTAAACGACATATTCCTCGTCATTATGCTTTCGCTTTGTCTGCTTTTTCCGCCGCCGTTCCATGCGGCGAAACGTGGCATCCATGTCTGGACATGTCGGGTTCAACACGTCTCCTTCAACCTTGATCGTCGTGTCTGTCATGTGCATTCGCCACGTCTCCATGTAGCTACTGTATTCCTCGACGTTGGCTACCACGTGAAGGCCGACATCGGTGGCCACTCGACGGCGGGATCCAGAAGTGTTGGTTCCACGACGGGAAGGCGCGGTCTCGGAAAAGTCCGATGCATCTTGCATGTGGCTGAAAAGAATGTCTTCCATCACTTGCATGGTCGCTTCCTTCTCACCCAGCGTCAAGGACTCCCCTTCTGCCTCCATTTCCGCCAACACATCGGCCAGAGCTTGGCCCAGAGCGCATCCGTGTGTCAACATTTCAACGAAATAATCCGGACACCATAATGCAACCCGTTATCCGGATGTCTGTGTTCCCAACTTTTACCGTGCATGATGGCCGACCTGTATGGCGACCTCGACACTTCGGTGGACGGCCGAAGCAGTATCCATCTCAAGAAAGAGCTGCAAGTCGTCCAAGCGCAATACGATAAGCTCCAGAAGGATGCAGCCAATCTACAGCGGTTGAACCAAGAGCTGGCAGACCAAAACGCTGTCCTCGAGACAAATCTGTCGGTGGTGTTTGCGACGGCCCAGACAGAAATCGCACGAAAGGACAAAACCATCAACGAGCTGCGCGAGGAACTGCACCGAGCGTCGCGGAGTGGTCACCAAGGACAAGGTCGTGGCGCACACTACTCAAGAGAGCGATCCAGTCAACCCTCCATAAATCGGGACCGTCAATGAATCTTTCATCATATCGTCATCTACCGACAGTGGGAGGGTTCAATCTCCTTCCTCCATATTCTACATTAAGGGACGTGTCTAAATGCTAGGATACATGCGAGAGCGATGTTCCGTGTCATCTTCGCATAACGTTACCAGTAGATGTCGACGTCGATTCCTGGCCTCAATGCCTTATTGCTGGAAAGCAGCGATCGGATAATTTCTGCAATATCCGGATGATTTCTGAAATATCCGGATAATTGTTTTGTTCGACATTTCGTTTCAAACACGTTTCAAACACAATGCCGATTTCGAACGATTTGCTGCGAAGGGTTGTTCAAACTTTCGAGCATTATTATTGCCATTGATCCTTGGACGATGGCAGGAGATGCTCCATCGTCGCCGCTGGAAGCGGCGTTCGTCGCGGCATGCGACGACCCCAAGCAGAAGGAGAAATTCGACATGACGGAGAAGGAGCAGCAGAGCTTCCTCAAGGCCATGAAGGACCCCGACTTTCGGTCGTTGCTGAACGAATACATGCACGAGATTTCGGACCCTGCCCACCGCGCCGAGCAGGAATTATACCTTCGGCAGCTCGAGAACGAAAACAAGGTGCCCACGGACAAGCAGCTCGTGCTTCCCAAGCCCGGGTTTGTGCTCAAAACCAAGTACAAGCAGCGGAAGATCTTTGTCAACGTGTGCTCGTCTGACAAAATGCAACCCCCGTCCAGCACGCGGGTGGCCTCGACGCCTTCGACGGCCGGCGGCACATCATGGAACTTGCCGTACTGCGTCGGTCCCCAGCGCTTGGAACCCGACAAAGGTACGATCATGGCGTCTCCACCATGAGACTTGATCGAGTGGTTGTAGGCGGTAAAGCTATCGCCACTTTCGACGTGTGCTACCACCCCCAGACCATTTCCCGAGCCATGGAGAGCGCCGCGTTCATGAAGATGCTGGTCAACACGGCGCTGGACGGAGTCGACAAGGTCTTCCACACTCTGGACGTCGACCCGAGCAAGGTGGATCGAGGTAGGTGTCTTATCTGATTTCTTACGGCGACCCCAGAGACTGTTCTTGGTTTAACGACTTGTGTACAAACGCTGTAGAGTACCACATCCTCAAAGGCATTGCGTACAAGTCGGGCAATCCTGTGACGATGTGCATCGCCGCTGCACCTGCGACGCCGCCATCTCGCGCCGCTCCATCTACGTCCTCGTCGTTCGTGCCAATGCTGCGTTTAGATGGCCCAACTCGTTCAACTCTTGTGTGTCATGTGTAGAGACAAACCCAAACCTCGAGCTGTGACAATGTCCACTGCAACCGTATCGCATGCGGCGTCTGGACCAACAACCCACAGTAAACCAAAGGCGCCGTTGATCCAAGATATCAGCAGCAGCAGCAGCAGCAGCAGCAGCGCCATCCACCCCCCTTCATCCACTCCGCCTGTGTACGTTGTCGCCTTGGCGATGTAGACGTCTCTTACGTTGTTTTTTATATATCTAGACTGCCGTCGATTGCGTACCAGATTACACACCGGGGCCAGTTCGATTTGGCGGACCACATCGAGTCCCGCGAAGCCAAGTCGTTTCGTCCACGGGATCTCGTGGTCAGAATGACGTTGCCCACGCATGTAAACACTGACAACGTCATATACAACCATGACATACCATGATCACGTCATACGATATATGATCACGTCATACGATATATGATCACGTCATACGATATATGATCACGTACGTAGACGTCGGCCGCGGGCATCGATCTGGACGTGTCGGCAACGGCCGTCCGCGTCACAGCTGCCGGGTACGCCCCACTGGCAATTGACTTGCCGTTTTCCGTGGTCGAAGCCAGCGGGAAAGCCAAATTTGACAAAGCCACCAAGACCCTCATTGTGACATTGCCAGTCGTGGCACCTCCAGTGTACGTACTCATCGAATCCACAATCGATCTGATTGGTTGAATTGCATTGAGAAGGTTTTGATTGGCTAATAATTTTGAGCTCATCTGAGGTAGCCAATCAAATCGATTTAAATTCCAACGAGAAACCACTTTGCCACAACACAATGAAATTTCACTCGAAGCACAATATGCGATACAGATATTGTGGATTCGACACGAATTTCCAAATCTCGTCGAATCGAATCACGAACTATCGCCGCTATTGGCTACTAATCCATTTTTGAGTGTGTTTGATTGGCTCGAAAGGACAAGTATATTCAACCAATCACAACTCCAGCGTGATGATTCAATATGGACAAATCGCGCGAATTTTGGAATTGTTTATGGCGAATTAATTCCCAATATTCCAAATAAACCTTTGAAACAAACTACGTGGTTGTGACTTGATCTGTTGTAGTCGCTCCGACATCGACGTACTTGCCGAGCAACCAACTAGTACTACTACTAGTACTACTACTACTACTCGGGAAGACCACATGGACAAAGTACAGTCTGCCGATGACGAGAACCCGCCCAATCAAATGAATGACGCTGAGGATGCCACGTCATTGGACCAACAGCGTGGTGGCGGCGGGGTGGACCACAGCCGATGGGTAACCCCAACCCCCGAAGGCGATGAGTTTGTCGCATATCGTGAGTTTGCCCAAATGGCCAGACACGATAAACCCGTGTACGAACCCCTAGAAATGATATATAAAATGATAGATGAAATGATATATAGTCTGATCCCACCTTGCCGTAGCATTGTGTACACCCAAGTTGAGCGGGCCAGTGTCCACGAAACCCGCACGCACATCTCGCACGTGGTGCCCGTGGCCCACATCAATGCGACAACGTTATCCAGTGTCGACGATGGCTCTGCGACGCTGTTTCGCTTCCAAGCTGGTTCGACGTGGTTTGAGTATCGATTAGATCATCTCAAGCAGCAACAACAAGGTGGCGAGAATTGTGCGGCAGTGCTGGACTGGACAGTGGAAGTGGCCACCCAAAATCTAGCCATCATATGCCGCAAGGCAGCGCCTCCGCCGTACGTTATATATATATATATTTATTTACATAAACCCCGTGGTGATTGAAATATCAAAAACACACTAATTTATTCAGTAGGAAGGTGCCATCGATCCGAGTCCACCGTGTATCGAGCGACATGTTTTCGATATTGGTGGACGTGGCCAACGTAGACCAAGCGTCTGTGACATCGTCGTTTACCAGTCGTGGGTTTGTGTTGGCTTTCTCTGCAACTTCTGGAGAAACGAGCGACAAATTTGAGCTCATTCGGTCATTCCAACACGACCTCGTGCCAGCAAAGTGCCTTGTGCAAGTGGCCGACGAGAATCTGTTGGTGGTGCTAGCGGTGGCCGACCCCCACGGCGACTACTTTGACCTTGTCGCAGAAAACGTCGCAGAGACGACCGTGGTTGTGACGGCGGACTCCAGTGGAGCCACGACTTTCAACGTCCACAAGAATACTGCCCCTGAACCACCAGCGACGATAGCGCTGCCAGACGAGACGCTGCAGCCACCCCTGCAAGTTCCCCGGTTCACGAATGATCTCATGTATGAGCTGGACTGAGACGGGCCCCGCTTAATATGTACCGTAGCTCTACATTTATAACGATGGCTATACAGTAACGTTATATTGTAAAGCGCAACTTGCATCGACGTGAGAACGAAATACATCCAAGAATATATCACGTGCTCACTGTGAAAGAAACTAACTCCCTTGACATATTGTATGAACATTGTATGGTGAAATTTAAATTATTCTCCACAATAATAATACTACGACTGTAGCCATGATCGTAGTATTATTAGAAAGAAATTCCCTTGAGAAATTGTATGAACATTGTATGGTGAAATTATATTTATTCTCCATAAAAGTACGTACATTTAAATTATTCTCCACAATAATAATACTACGACATGGCTACACTCGTGATGGTTATAAATAGACGGGTGTGGATCAATCATCCCCAAAGCGTGACCAATTCAGTGTATATCGACCGACAGTGCATCGGTCTCGACCGACCGAGCGATGAACTTGGAGGAGCGGTTGGCACATTTGCAGTGGCGCAAGGTGTGCAACCAGAGCCAAATCAAGGGGGCACTCAAGCAGAGCAAGCAGTTGGCGGAAAAGGACACGCTCTTGAACGCCACCGAGTGCAGGGACCGTACGTCGCGGGTCAAGTCCATCGTCCAAAGCGAAATGGCGCGCCCCCTCGAGGTACACCACGCCCCGCCTCGCCTCCCCCTGGCCCATCATCGTTTGGATGGTTATGATAGGTTCCACTGGCGCTGGTTGAGACCATGCAACGAGACATGGACAACGAGAACCAATCGTTGGAGCGCACATCGGCCATACACGTCCACAGCGTGACCTCGATCCAAGCCAAGATTCGCCAGCGCGAGGACCAGGCCAAACGGCACAAAACGTTTCGCAAACACAAGGCGGCGTTGCTCGCGTCGTTCTCCCCGAACGGCAGCACCACCACGAGCCCCCCGAGCAGGGGGGGGCAGCAACGTCATAGCCCCACCACCAATTCTTAATACGAATAGCTTGCATGTGCAACTAACTGGACAAGGAAAACATATGTGTTTTGCATGTAAATACCGGTAAACATATACTTTGAAGAATATATATTATTTGAACGTGATCAGCTCAATGTCAAACACAAGGTTCGTGTTGGGCGGTACGAGCCCTGGGAACCCCTTCTTGCCGTATGCTTTGTCGGACGGGATGTACACTTTCGCGCGTTCTTTCATGCAAAGCTACGTATAAATGCAATTTGTCCATGGAAACGTTGATGCATTTTGGGCATGTTTACTCGCTCGATGCCTTCGTCTAGCCCTGGGATCACTTGTTCCGCGCCGAGTTTGAACTTGAACGGTTTGTCTCGATCCCGCGACGAGTCAAATTTCTTGCCGTCTTGCAGCTACATGTCAACATGTCCGTCGTCGTCACAGTGTCACATAATGGACAGACGGACGATTGGTTCATTGCGTACATAGGCAGTGTAATGCACCACGACGGTTTGCCCTTTTTTGGGGTAGTTGACGCCATCTCCGGCCACAAACACTTCGACTTGAATCTCGCCGGCTTTCTATCACCGCGCACCGTGATGGACTTCCCGCTTGTCAATGTAAAGCAGATCAGCCAGCGTACGTACCAGCGTCAACGCCGAAAACTCCTTTTCCTTGTACGCCGATGACATTTAGTTGTTCGCCGATGTGTCACACTCTGGATGCAACGGTCACGTGCTGTTTAGGCTGTCAAGATGAAACCGCGACGGTTACAGAATCGTCGCCATCCCTTGTTTTGAAGGGTTGCCTCATGCCGACGAACTTCTACGCGTCGATGCATCCCCCCTGTCGACTTGTCGCGCTGCCATCAGTGGACTGGACGTCGCATGCCCACCTCGCGATGGCCATGTCCGAAGCCATGATTCCGTACGCTGCCGTGGGCTCGAGTATCCTCGTTGCGCCTCTCGCCGACATCCGTCGCATGTGACAGGCCAAACATACGTACGCTGTCGCTGCTAACCCTACCGTCCTTCTTCTACGCGCTGTAGTCCGCCATGTTCCTCATCGATGCATATGTCACGGCCAACGCTGTCTTGGCCATCACCACGTCGCTCGGTCTCGGAACGTACTACCTCACGGTGTGATACTATGCGTACTGTGTCGATAAGATACCATACAGGCAACACTGGCAAATGAACCATGTTATCACTGCGTTTGGTACTCTGTACATCATCGGTCGGAAATGGAACTGTGGTCGTGCTGGCGTCGACGGGTGTAATTAGTAGCCACCCTGCAAAGGTTCAGACGAGGCCTTCGTCATTGGTTTTCCAGGTAACTGACCCAACCCTCCCTTGGCATTGTTGCGGTGGCGTTTATTTTAGAGAGTCCATGAGAGTTAGATCATGAATGCAGTGGCTGGACAGTGTACAGTGTGCTGCTGGGCGATCGAGTGGTCACTATCCGAACGCAGTACGTACCATCGTAGGCCTCCTGCCAGTAGGTTCAGTGTGGTGTGGAAGTTACTGGCATGTAGCCAACCTACACTGTAGTATACTACTAGTAGTACATGACATGGGCTTGCTGCAGATTGGACTGACTCGGCTGCTCCTATAAAGCCAAGCCTATGCATGTCGTGTAGATCTAGAACTGGCACTGCATCTGACTGTAGTACTTACAATTAGACTACCGCTTTAAGTAGTACATTTGAGTGTGATGTACCGTGAGCCACATATGTCAACAGTCCAATGAACACTCGTGAGTACTTCTAGGAGACTCTAATCAGTGCACGATGTAAGCCTCCATGACACCACCACCCACATGCACGCCCCATGAAATGGAATGAATCGAGTGTGTTAGGAGAGTTTATAAGCGTTGGTGTGTTCGATGACTTAGGAATGGCCGTGCAGGTCCTCCTCGTCATCCTCGGCTACGAGTAGGTCCATGTCGGCACACACACACGGCAGACACGCGAGGATTACCTACTCAAGAGCGGGGTCTTTTCGTTCGTCACTCCGTCGATTTGTTCGCTCAACGGCACGTTGGGGTACTTTTCCACAACAGGGCCTGCCTTCAAGTACAACACGGCAATGGACGCCACTAGACACACCGCATACAAGGCCGCTACAAAGCAAAGTCCCAGGTTAGCGTCGCCACTGAGCTGGGAGATGCAACAAACCTCCTTCATACACTGGCGCTGACGACGTGACATTGAGTGACTTGATGTACTCGGGTTGGGTTTGAATCATGAGGCCAACGGAAGTGAGGAAGATAATGCCGAATGCCGACAGAAGCGTGCAGCACAGCGCGTATCCTTGGGCGGAAGGCATGGTGTGTCGGAGGTGGGGATATGATAATGGGATGATGGCAGGCTACTTCCTGAGGAGAGGACAGGCAAATTATTTCAATTTCGGGAGACCATCATACAAATATCAAGGTAATTGTATTCCGCTTTTGGTAAAAGGGCCTACAGTTCGAGGACGGAGGTGGCAGGGAATCCGGTTAATACATCCGGACGATACATTTCAGAACGTTCAAAATAGCCGAGGAATATGACACAGAAATGAACTGGGGAAGCTAAAATTGGGCAATTTCCAAGGCGATGCTTTGACCTCACGGCAAAATGATGGGAACAATCCTAGTAGTTGAAGTTGATTGCGGGAACATCGAGGAATTTTCTGCCTATTTTGACTGACGTGAACATTCCAAGTGCCAGCAGCAAACATCACGGCGCCTGCGGCGGCGGTCCACGTTACAACCAGCCTTTATCAATGTAGATGATTCATCAAAGCAAGGCACGACATGCATTCAATGTCATGGCCTGGCATGATATATCTATCTCAGCAGCTGATTGCATAATCGACGCAATGTAGGACAACCTCGGATCACGCGGTGGACTATGTAGCCGGCGTCATCACACGTCGTGTCCCAGGCGACGATCACAGTCCACACCTTGGTTCTCCCTCCCAAATCACCTTCCCGTCTCTGCGACGTGCTCGGCTCATTTCTCCATCTACGTTGTTGTATCTTCCATGAGTGGGGTCGCGCCGTTTATTCAGTCGCTCATGGATATGCTCGAGTCCGACTCGCCCTGTGTGTCCTGGAACCCATTGGACAAGCGAGCGTTCGACATCCTCGACACCAAGACCTTCGCGGACGCCGTCTTGCCCGTGTACTTCCGCCACGCCAAGTTCACGAGCTTCCAGCGGCAGCTCAACTACTTTGGGTTCCGGAAACAAAGTCGCCGCCACAGCGCCATCTGCACGTACGCGCATTCGCACTACTCGATGCGAGTTCCCACGGAATTGCTTCGGATCAAGCGTAAAGTTGTCAAGCCCAAGCTATCAGCAGCCCTCGATGGCAAAGCGGCGGCGGCGACGACGCCTGGGACCTCCTCCGGTATGACCACGCCAGCAAGATCGCCTACAAAATCCATTGGACTAGCCTACACAGAGGCATCCCTGGCCTACGCCCAAGCGTGGTCGGACAGCGGCTTGAGCGCGAAATGGACCGAGTTGGATATGACACCCTTGCCGTTCGAGCGAGGAGCTGACATGATGCTGGAAGGCGGCAGTGGCGCGGCGCCATATTGCTATCCTGTGGACGACGAGTTGGCGAATTGGGTCCTGCGTCAGTTCTGACGAAGCTCGAGAAAGTGGTAGTGGTGGCGGCGAGGACAGCACGAGACGATGTGTGTGTCTGATGTAATTGTTGCAGAGTAGAATAAACGTGAAATAGCATATCATCATATATCCAACTTAACCATCGTCTGGAGTCGAGTCGGAGATCGGAAGGGGCGGAGCAGCGGCAAGGTACTAAATGCGGTCCAAACACTCGAACTGTACGATGCTGTTCCCTCGGATCACAACCATCCCGATCTTGTTGGCTTCGGTCTGCGAAACTTCTTCGATCGTGTCGTCCAATGTGATGTTCATGAACTGGTCAAACCCCCGCAGGATGCCCGACACCTTTCTGTTGCCATTGAGCTTGATGCTCAGCGTCTTGTCCATGTAGCGCTTGAGGTCGGGCCCCGTGACTTTGCTCATCTTGGGTGGCTGCTGGAAATGGTCCAAGTGTGCACTGTTCCAACAACAAACCCTACCCCGCCCCCTTAATAATTTGGATTTGAGGGAAAAATCGAATGATATTTGAACAAAAAATGAAATTTTTAAATCAATTTATAGCCAATCCTGCGGTAGCGAGATGTCAATATTAACCAATGATTAGTGTTTCACTCGATTTTTTCTGGTGTACCAACGTGCATCATGTCGATCCGCCGCCTGCACACCGAAGCCCGCTATAGCGAAGTGGTGATCCACAACAACACAGTGTACCTCTCAGGGCAACTGGCAGACAACTTGGACGGTGACATCCATGCTCAGACCTCGGAAACCTTGGCAAGCATCGATGCATTCCTCGCCGATGCTGGCACGGACAAGGCGGCCCTCCTATCGGCGACGATCTACCTCAAGGACATGGCAGATTACGCGGCCATGAACTCTGTGTGGGATGCATGGGTCATTGCTGGCGCCGCGCCGGCTCGCGCCACAGTCCAAGCGCACTTATACGATCCCCGCGTACTTGTCGAGATTTCTGTCGTCGCTGCCGCTCCTGGAATCACGTCGGCCTAGCTTTGTAAACTTACGCACACAACCAAACCACAATTTGTTCTGGATAAGATCACGAATTGAATTTCGGTGCACAAATATGTGACGACGTTGGCTATTTCAGTTAAACATTGTAACGATTTACACCGGATTGTGGGTTATAGCTCCAAAGTTCACCCATTCGAGTGCAGCAGATCCTACATGATGCTATGTATGCGTCCGAGGAATCCTCCAGCCGACCCTTGTCGGGAGAAGCTTGGACGAAGACGTTGATACCATGTCCGCAGCTTTCAACCTTCCTCCATCTATCCCACCTCCATAATCGTTTGCCCCACGTCACATTCCGTCCAATTCCTTCCGACTGGGGAAACTTCGACGACGCCCACCCCGCGGCCATCGCCTCGTGGACACAAGGAAACTTCCTCTCCGTTCTGTACCTGTCTTTCGTTGGTGCCCTCGCTTACATGTACACAAAGCTAGTGCTGACCGTGGGCCTTTTGCTCTGTGATGTGTCTGTCGAGTACTTTTGGCTGTCCGCCTCCATCTTTGTCGACGATAACGTCGTCACACCACCCATCCTCCATCCACTCTGCATCCAACTGACCCTTTCCACCACCCTGTGGTTGTGGAGCCATCTTGCTCGAACCATCCTCTTCATTGCCGCCGTGGCATCCTCATGGGAACGTTACTCGTCGGTGCCGCGCGCACGGGCCTATCCTTGGTGGTAGGCCAAAGCTACCCCGACACCCACGAGCTGGCCGTGTTGGCCGGTGTCACAGGGGTGGCCACCGGAGTCGCGGCCATGCTGTGTCCGTCTGGGTGGGCGGGCGGCGGCGTCACTGGTCGTGAATTCGTTGACGTATTTGGTGCAAAGTGTCAACTGGGTCACGTTTAACTCTGAAGCCGAGGACCACATGTGTATTCTCGACAACAGAGAACTCTTGGCCCAGGTGCATGCCACGTTGTACTACAACTTGCATAGCAACTCATAGGCGCTATGTATGTTGTAGGCGGGGGTGGTGGTCATTCTCGTCGTGCTATTTGAACGATCCACGGACCCGCGGCGAGTGCTTCTCCACACCGCCCAGCATGTGGCCGGCCAGCTCCACAATTACGACCCCTGCGCCGTTCTGGGGGGTACATTGCGTGTTTTTACCGACGCCAGGCGGTCGCAATCTTCGAAGCCGTCGTCGTAGCTGCGTGGGGGACTAGTCTTGGCTCGTTGCTCGCGTATCGATGGAAGGCCCTTCAGACTATGCCGGTGATAGGGCAGGGGGTTGTCTGCGGAAGCGTTGGCGGGGTCACCACGTCCTTGGTAGCCACCACACTGTGGCTACCCCAGTTCCCCCGCGACTCCCTGTGGTTTCAAGCTGGCTACACGTTTGTAGCTACAATCGTAGCGCAATGTGCCAGTGGCTGGTACAGTGTTAACCCCCGTGGCGGGATATTAATGATATCAAAAGATGCTGTTTACGGATGTGTAGGTGGACGCTTCTCCTCTATCGAGCGGACGCAATGAGATCTCTTGGAAATCGACCCCGCCGCCTTTCGACTCACTCACGGCGTTATGGTGCTCCTACCCCTCGTACTCAGCTTCAACCCGTACTGTACGCCCTGCACAACCCCATCGAATTCCTCGTCGCCCGAAACACACTCAAAGCCAACCTCCCACCGAGCCACAAAAGCGACCAATCCCCCAGTGAAAATATATATCTCACCCAGTTGATCATCGGCAACTCATACCCTTCAGCTCAACTCTATGCCATGTAAACACAACACATTTCAGCTGGAGGTTACGTGCATCTAGCGACAGTTAACCATTAGGCAGCTGAACGATCCCATGGAATATGTACCAGTGTGCGTAAACCCAAGGGGTAACCTCGTTGACGTTAAGGGAATTGCACAGTGTGGAACTGCTATTACCGTACAACCACCATGAAACCGGGCGCAAACTAACTGCATGAACGTTGCTGCAACCAACCGCACAACATCCAAGTCCATATTAATACTATTTTGCAGTTAAGTTGGACGAATGCTCGATATATTTATTTGGTCGTGTGCCCGATATAACTAGCCATATGCCCGTTTAATTTGGCACCAGGGCACACCGCCAAATAAATATATCGGGCACACGACCAAATATATCGGGCACACGACCAAATATATTGGGCATTATTCTTCCAACTTAACTTCAAAACGTGTAGTAGTTAGTATACATTGCATAAGTACTCTCGTTCATGTAACGTTAATGTATGAATCATTATTCTATCATCACCCTGGTCATTATTCACACATGTCCACGAGGGTCTGCAGCATGGACGCAGCTTTTTGCGGATGCAAATGCTCCTTGGCCTGTTTGGTTGTCGGCGGCGGCGCCACGCGGTCCACCGTCGACTTGGTCTTGGCTTTCTTGGACATCAACGCATGCAAGAGGCGAAGCCGGCGCGGCGCTTCTCCAAGGGACCATTCGTTCGCGTTGAGCGTAGCCAGCGTCCGCTTACACAGGCGTGCGCTCAAAGTAAACAACACCGTCGAGTCGCGGTGCATCTGCAGCAGATCGATCCACAGCTCGAGGCTCATACCCACGCCCTCCACGTCTTGGCCACCATCCATCACCACCGCGGAACTCGACGTATTCTTTGCAGTGTCTCCACCACGAGAACAAGATAAGTGCAAACACACTTGGAGCAACTGGTGTAGCAACTCCAAATGCGGACGACTGCGATTGCATTTTCGAATGGCTTTGTACAGTAACCGAGGGACGCGGTGGGCCACACACTCGACACAGCACTCGGTTGACAGCCGCGTACACATTTCCAGAGTGTGCACTGCCTGCAGCATCTCATGCAGCCGCGGCGATGTGTTGAGGATGGCCAGGGCGCGCTTGAGGCGGTATCGCAGAGGAATGCTCTCTTCTTGCACGTACCCGGCAGACTGCTGGCGAAGGGCCAACGTCGCGACCACCGCCGACGTCTGTGCGGCCTGGACACGGTGTCGCATGATGGTCACAGCTGCCGCACAGCGCAACCGCACTCGCATTCCTAATCTCACATCAGTCAAGGCCATCTGGTATCATTCTTAGATCATTTGGAACTTACCTCGCCACCATTTCTGCAGCACCACGACCGGAGGTACGGTCCACACGAGTTTGGTTGGCTGTCGTCGACCCGGGGTATTGGAGTTGGTGGTGGCGTCCACTTGCACATCCGCAGATGGTTCGTCGTCCCGTCGGAACGTCATCGCATGCCACCATTGCTGGATGTACGAGGCCGCGGCGTGCTGGTTTTGCGTGTGAATGACCACACTCCGCCACCACTGGAGTTGCTGGTACCGCCTCAGGAATTGCTGCACAAGTATCGCCGCCGCCACCTCCTTCTCTTGTGCTTCCATTTGGATCTGCCGTTCTTGTTCCTGCTGCTGCGCTGCTTTGAACATGGCGGCGCCATTGGCACGTACTTGGTGGATCCACGCCGCCCACTTGGCTTGAGTTTGCATGACGTGGCGATTCGTCAGCAACGTCTTGGCCCACGTCTGCAACGTCGTCGCAGCAGCTTTATGTCGTTGCTCTCGACGCACCAGCCCCACCAGGCCGTGCCAAGAGTTCGCCACCAGATGAACATGACAGCGTCGCCGCCACCACCGCTGGAGGCGAACACTCGCGTGCCTTTCAATCTCCGCCATGAGAAACTCCACTTTGATCGCCCGCACATTGCGCCACCACAGCTGAATCGTTGTCGCAGAAGCAGTCGCCACAGCTTGGGCTGTTGCTTTCTGGTCCCACAACTGAACGGCCAGCGAAGTCCACCACGCGGTCACCTCCCATGAGCGCTGGGCCCGGACCCACCACAGCTGCAACGTCGTCGCAGCTTCGTGTCGTTCCTGAGCGAGTTCAAGTTGCTGGCTTTGACGATGTCGGACCCATCGCTGGATCATCATCGCCGCTTGGTCTTGGTTGCGCTGCTCCCACAACGCCATCGTCAGCTCCATCCACGTCTGCTTGACTTCCAAGAGTCGTTTCGTCGTCACATACCACCGCTGGATCCGCGACATCGCGCGAGTCTTCTTCACGTCGCTCATCACCGCATGGACACACCCTTGCCACGTTTCAAGGCGATGTCGACGCCGCCACACTGTTTGGATCATACTCGCCGCGGTCGCTTGAGTGTGTTGGTCCCATAGGTCGTACGCCAGCTGAATCCACGTCTGGCGACACCGCCACATCTGCCACCCCCGCCGCATCCACCGCTGGATCGCCATCGCAGCGGCGGCTTGCTGTTGTTCGGTTTCCAGCGCATCCTCTTGCTGCTTGAGTTTGTACGATAGCCACGCCCGTTGTACCGTCGTCGCGGCCTCGTCATGCTGCTCCCATACGAGCGTCGCCAGCTGCGTCCACCACGCCCGAACGGCATACTGGTGCTGGCAGGTTCGGTACCAGCGCTGCAGCCGCGACGCCGACGCGCGTCGAACTTGATCCCACAAGTGCCGCCGTTCGACGTCCATGGCTGCTAGCACCACATTCCGCCACGTATTTCTGATTCGTTGCGAGCGCCACCACTTGGACAGTGTGTGCACTGCAGCCTGGCGCTGCCTCACTCGACGCCACTTCCGCTGGAGCACACTGGCAGCATCATGCTGGCGCTTCTCCAAGCGGATATAGTACACGATCGCATACCAGTACTCTTGGACGAGGTGCCGATGGTACCACCGCTGGAGCACCGACGCGGCGGCATGGCGGACGCGGTGGCCGTGGAATGCTAAGGCGCGCCACAGCGTTTGGGTCTGGCTCAGCTGGCGGCACCGACGCCACCATTGCTGCAGCGTTCGAGCTGCCACATGGTGGCGATTGGCTGGCATGTCGTCTAGTTGTTCTACCATCTCCTGGTTCTTGTTCTTCTTGTTCTGTATGGGAACGTGCAACCAGCGACGGGCGGTGCTTTGAAGCACATGCACAGCTCGACACCGCGCCGCCCGCTCCCGCTTTGCCAACACCAGCCGACCAAACGACTGAAGCGCGACGACGTGCCCCAATCGGCGGCGAATCGACCGCTGAAGGAACCGAGACATGGACGTGGACGCCCACCACTTTTGGAGGACGCGGGCGCCGCCGTCACGCTTGGCGGCTCGGCTGCGTCGGAATCGAGGTACCCACCAGTGCTACGTACACCCCACACAAATATACAAAACACATGAATCCACCATGTATATATGACACAAAGCACAGGTATATATATATATATATATATATATATATATATATAAACGAGGAGGTGCTGAATAATACCTGCAGACAAAACGCAGCGTGAATCTCGCGACTAGCGCCAAGGAGCCGCGAGTGCAAATACGCGAGAAACGTGACAATGCACTTTTCTTCGGGAAGGTGCTCCGAGTCGAACAGCGGCAGCAGCACCGGCACTTGGCCGAGTTGCTTGACTTTGAGGTTGACCAATGCAAAGTTGGCGCGCTCGTTCGCGAGCAACGGCGTCTTGGTGGCCATCCGCTCCGTGGTCGTGTCACTGGTCGTCCATTGAATTTCCCATTTTTCCAGCAACTACGTAGCCCCACCACCACGTACGTCAGAAATAGACCATTGGATTCAAATATTATACATATATATATATATATATATATATACATCATATTTGTCGGTGGGCATGGCTATCGTCGTATTGAAGTATATATATATTGTGGATTCGATACGAATTTCCAGACCCCGCCGAATCGAATCACAATGAATCGACGCGATTGGCTAACGCAATTTCGAGTGGATATATTTGATTGGCTCGAAAGGACAAGAATATTCAACCAAACACCCATCAGAACTCTGGCGGGATTCAATATTGATTAGACAAACCAGGCCAAGTTTGGAATTGTTTATAGCGAATTAAAACATTTCACTATATATATATATATATCATAGTTGACATACCCGAGGATGGTAGTAATGGATCATCAAACACAGCGCTTTGCCATCTGCAAACGACGCGGTGAAGTTCCGAATTGCCACGTTGTACGTCGCACACACGACGCGGCACCACTCGAGCAAGTGCCATGCAATTGGCTCCTTCGCCTTGTCGATGGCAAACGGATGGATGATTACGTCATCATCGGCCGACTTGATCACGTCATCATCGGCCGACTTGATCACGTCATTCGTCCACACGCCGCCCCGCCGACGCCGTTGCTGGATGCGCAGAATCTCCATCTCCACTTGACCCACGTGCACCACATGCGACAGTTTAAAGTAGCTGATCAACTGCCATCACAATATGTCCATATATTAGCATAGTTCCACGTTGGAAACACATGAGATACAGTACCTGCCACAGCAACGCCAGCGTCTTTTCGCGGTGGCCGTCCACAATATCCTTGGCAGTTAACCCTGTCGCATGGCGTGTGACACCGCTCGACTCGACGCCCGACGCCACTGGCATACCGTACTTGGCATGCAGACAGGTTAGAGTCACTTGGACGTTGTGCACTTTTTGCAGCCGAGACACGGCCGGAAGACGCAGCTGTGAGCTCAACTGTCCCTTGACCGACGGATCCAACGTCTCCACCAGGCGAGCCTACAATCATTCACCACAAAATCGATCAACACTCTCTTTATCATCGACTACACCAACGTCACACACGAAATGTATACATATATATATATATATATGGTACGTATAGTATTGCTGTTAAATCAATATATAAGTTCATATATATATATATATACATTCATCAGATATCGCATCCTGGTTATATACATTATATACATACATATCGCCCCAGTCTATACTATCCATTTTGATCCAGTCAACATGCACCCACAACACACGACAACCGTACGTACACACACAACATCCCTCGCCATCGATATGCTTGTCATGTCCTAAACTACTACTACTACTAACTACTACTACCACAAATACACAATATCAATTCGAATCCACACCCCAGGTAGTGGTACTACTGGTACATATACATATATATCATCAAATATCACAATATATAGACACACACAGTCTGTACCGACCAATCGAACGCCATCGCGAAGGTCCACAGCAAGGTTCACGACTTGCATGTCCATCTCTTCAAGCACGGTCTGCTGGTACTGGACGACATACTGGAGCTGATGCAAATGGCGGAGTACGTTGCCTTCATGGGCGAGGAACTGCTGGCACAGGTCGATGAGCACTTGCTTGCTGCGCTTGATGCGGCTCGTTGGGCGGAACAAGCACGGAAGTGCGACGTGGTCCACATGCCGACGGACATGGGCTTGGTCGAGAAAGTACACGATCATGAGACACCGTACGAGAGTCGTGGCCTTGAGCTGCGACAGCGTTTCACTCGAAGCTGTTGTCTTGAGGTTGAACGCTGGGTCCTGCACGATGCGCTCCAAGATGGTCCGTTTGAGAAAATGCGGCAACTTTGTGGATGATGCCGAAGTCGGTTGAACGAGCGCGCCAAGCGACTCGACGAGGCGGATGCCCAGCACGACTTCAAGCGCCAATGTGAGCCACAGCGGATGGTACGAGTTGAGCAAGTCCATAAGCGACTGCTGCAGCCCCACATCGACATGCAGCGGCCGGTCGGCGCGAATCGTGAGCCGGCGCGCGGTGATTTCCGTCTGCAGCCGGAAGAGAAGGTCATCCGTCTGTGGACTGTGGTACGTGGCCACGGCGGCCGCGCGGACTTTGCTTTCCAATCGCGTGATGGCGAGCTGGCGGAGCTGCGCATATCGATCTCGACTTACAGGCGTCTCGTCTTGGATTTCGCAAAAGTGCGCGCCCAGGAGCGTGAAATTGAGCCACTTCTGGAACCCCGCCTCTTGCTTGGGGACCCAGTGGGCATCGTACACGACGCGCCGCTTTTTCCACTCTTGATCAGTCGACGTTTGCGGGATGTGCGTCGATTGTTTGGCGAGTTTGGGGGGGCGCGGCTTGACTGCCGTGGACGAGGAAGAGGAGCTGGAAGAGGAGCTGGAAGCGAGCGCGGTGGACGGAGGACGAGTCGCGCCGTGGAGCGCGCAAAAGAGCCGGAAACGTTGGTTCAGGCGGATGTACAGCTTCCCCGCGACACGTCCATGGGTCGATGGTGTGAACGTGACGGAGATCGAAGACGCGGACTGCATGGGAAGGACCAGCGCTTGATGCGCGTCGACAAAGAACGCGGCGGCGGCGGCCTTGGGCACGATGTCCTCGAGCACGACCGTGGCGACCCCAAACTCGCTCGGATTCGACAGGTGCAGTGTCATAGTATGGGACGTTCCTACGGACACCATGCCAAAGTCGAGAGAGGGGACGTGCTGGAAACTGTTGAGGAGGAACGTGTGGTGCAGCAGTGGGGAGGCTGCTACTGGCTTCACTGCCGCCGACCCACTAAAGGACAAATCCGACGGTGACTTGTGTGGGGACTCAAGCTGATTGTTGGAGGGACGACGGGTGGAGACCGACGTCGACGTGAGCGAGGACGTGAATACTGACGTCTGGTTAGACAGATCTGGCCCGCCTTTTTGCACCGGCATGGTGCTGTCGTCGAGGGTCGAGTGTGCTTTTCGCTTCAGAGGGTTGGCGTTGCTGCTACTACTGCTGCTGCTAGCGGTGGGAGAGTGTGGCGACAAGTCAAACACACCCGAATCGTCCAAGTTTTCCTTGTCGTCTGCACATAACGCGTGATCACACAACGACCATGGCATCGACGCATGGAGTTCGTTCGGCTTACCTTCCGAAGTGATTGACGAAGGTGCTTTCCGCTTGAGGCTACTGACAGGCGTGGTTGTGTACACCAGTGCTACACATGAAGACATCATGCGTGTCAATTTCATTCCATGCGCCGCCGCTTCCGGCCTCTGTCGTCGGCATGATCACCACCCTTACCTGTTGCCTCGCTGCCGTGTTCCATGCCCCAAGGTGCTTGCAATAATATCGCGGTTTAAAATTTGAATTTCAAGATATGATTTACCTCTACGTGTTTATAATGTATACATTGTCACAGGTATTCCATAGATTGCAAATTACTTCAATATTTAGCCAATTGTGGCCGCCTTTTTTGCACTTTTTCTGTCGTCCGCTGTGATTGGCCGAGCAAAAACTCTTTGGTCGAATAATTGCATCTTGAACCGTCGCCGCCGCGGATCCCTTGTCGACCTACAGTGCCTCATAGATATTCATACTACCATGAGTGTCAGCATCAAGGTATGCATCCGGTGCCGCCCGTTCACGATCGACGATACCCTTGGGGTGGTCATGACGCAAAAAGGCGACGAGGAGGGCGAAGTGGAGCTGATCAACTCGAGTTACTCGACTACTCGGTATCGTCTCACTCGAGTGTTGAAACCCCATGTCTTATACGAACGTAGGTTTGCCTTTAGTTGGTCGTGGTGGAGTGCGTACGGGTACAAGCGTCACGTGAAGGGCGACCCGTTGCCCGCCGACAACATGCTTCTCGTGGACCAAACCATGGCGTACGAAGCGTGCGGGAATAAGATCAAGGCCGACCTCTTGGGCGGGAACGCGGTCGTGCTGTTTGCGTACGGACTCAGTGGTTCTGGGAAGACATTTACAGTGTTTGGGGTACGTTCATGCATTCGCAACAACTACCCTAGACGTTAGATATCCCATCTCTACGTAGCCCGATGCCGTGGACATTCCAGAAGCCTGGTTCAAGCATGAAGAACCGCATCCAATGGTACATATATATGAAGTTTTAAATTTTTCGACGGCGATGGAATGCTTGATCGAATTCGTGGTAGTAGTGTTTGATTAGTGTAATGTGGTATATATAGTACCTGAATGGTACATGTTGTTTTACTACCTGTTTATGTTATGCTAAGCTTATAAGATCGATACCAAATACAATTGGTGGTGCTTGTACAGTCGTGTATCTGTCATATGACATTTTATTATTGTCCATTTTTACCCAAAATGAGGATATGTGTGAGTTGTTCATTCGCCAAATCTATATATCGATCCGTCGAGCCTCTGTACTGACTTTTGTATGTTGAAAAGTTCTCTTGTATGGTGATTGAAATCACACTAATTTAAGTCAACACACTAATGAGATATGGATACGGTAGTTTCCTGCAATCTGATTGGCTAAAATAAATCCTTCGGCCGATTCTTGTGTCTATTTATTTGGTTGTTCTTCCGTTTAGAAGGAACGCACACGATATTGTGGTATATTCGGTCCAAATTTCCAGACCCGGTCGAAATCACAATGAATCGACGCGATTGGCTACTAATTCAATTTTGAGTGGATATATTTGATTGGCTCGAAAGGACAAATATATTCAACCAATCACAACTCCAGCATGAGGATTCAATATATTGATTTGTCAAACCAGGCGAAGTTTAGAGCGAATATCACAATATGTTTAAATATCATTCATAACGTTAGTGGGGCATATTCCCTCGGTTGGCGTACGAGTTGTTCAAGGAAAAGCAAGATGGGTGGAAGATCACGATGAAATATTTTCAAAACGTGGTCGACACCGTCCGCGACCTCATGAGTCCCATGGCGCAAGAGCAGCAGTACAAGAGCGGCATGCGGAAAGATCCGGATGGGTTCATGGACATTGAATGGTGTCAGGTAGGTGCAACTGGGACGATATATATATATATATATATATATAAGCAACGACTAGGGCGTCGTGCTGAAAGACTGGAACGACCTGCGCCGCACGTTTATGAGCGCCAACTCGCGCAAAGCGATCGCGCCGACGCAGTTCAACCACCAGTCCACCCGCGGCCACTGCATCATGACGCTGGAAGTGGAAAAACCTGACCCCGATCGCGAGGGTATGTCATCACGATGCCGTGTATATCCTGGTTGATATATATATATATCGGTATTGTCCTTTTTTACCCAAAATTTGGATTGGTATAGCGATTCGCCAATTGTATCGATCGATTGTTTGTACTATTAATAGTGCTGAGTTTTGTATTACTATGGAAAAAAGTTGTCCTGTGGTATTACTTCCAATCGCACTAATTAAAGTCATACACACTATATGCTATGGTTTCCTGCAATGTGATTGGCTCATAACAGGAATCACTAACGTTAACGTTATATTGATTTGGTTGGGTCGAATTATCATCATCATATATATGTTTCATAGGCATGAAGCAGAGGGGACGGATTTACGTGTGCGATCTTGCTGGGACCGAGCCCGCGGGCGACGTCGTGTACGCCAACTACCAAAAGATCCAGTTTGACGATGGCACGATCGAAATGAAATACCTCGGACCTCACTCGGACCCGGCCAAATCCAAGGAATTGCAAGACCAGGGCAAGAAAATCAACCTCAGTTTGACCGAGATGGCCCAGTTTTTCATGAAAATGGCGGGTATGTTGCCTATCTTTATCACAAAGAAAGATATCCGAGTCGACATATATATATATATATACATTGTCCTTTTACCCAAAACTTGGACGACTTTTGTGCTGATTCGCCAAATCCATCGAACGATTCTTTGTAATGTGCCACACTAATAATTCGATGTTGTATTGGTCGAAGAGTGGATTTGATTGGCTACTTTTTCTTGATCTGGGTTTTGATTGGTCGATATATCGATTGTCTCCCGATTTGGTGCTGCTAAGTCGATTGAGCACCCAAACACTCCAATTTCGAATTGATTTGACAATATATATATATATATATTTATGATTCGGAGGCTAAGTCGTCGGTGGCAGAGGCGGTGCAAAAGAAGACGCTCAAACCCGGCGCGAGTATTCCCGGGTGCAACTCGTACTTTTTGTGCAAGTACCTCAAGGACACCATGTTGCAAGCAAGGTAATAAGTCGGACTATTGTACCTGCTCACGTCATCTGTACTATGATGACGACGCATCTGATTCTGGCTCCGGGAAGCATCTGATTCTGGCTCCGTGGATGATATTATTTGGTCTCTAGAACGTACTTGTTTTGCGCCGTGCGACCTGAAGTCACGTACCACAACTATACGTTTTCCACGCTCGGGTTTGCCAAGAATGCGTCCGTGATCAAATTGCAGCCCAAAAAAGCGTCCACGGCGGCGTCTCCGGCCGAACGAAAGGTAAAGTGACGTTTATAAATGATATTCATGTGACGTGGCATGTTGTTGTTGTCGTTTTGGGTGTAGCTTATGGCAGAGCTGGACGAAATGAAGAATTTGGTGTCGATGCTCAAGGCAGAAAACGAAAAAATGGCCAAAGCGGGCGGCGGAAGTGGCGGCGGGTCGGAGCAGGTGGACAAACTGAGCGAATTGTTGGCCATGAAGCAAAAACAGCTCGAAAGTACGATGATGTGATCATGATCATTGGATGACGTGATCATGATCTTTGGATGGCGTAATCATGACTTATGATGACGTGATTGTGATCTTTGGATGATGTGATCATGATCTTTGGATGACGTGATCATGATCATTGGATGGCGTAATCATGACTTATGATGACGTGATTGTGATCTTTGGATGACGTACTCATGATCTTTGGATGACGTGCTCATGACCATTGGATGACGTGATCATGACTTATATGATGACGTGATCGTAGACGTGTTGAACGGCGACGGCGACGACGGCGGCGGCAGTGGCGTCAAGTCGGCGGCAAAAGTGCAAGAAGAAACGATGCAGCGCCAAAAGGAGGAGTACGAAAAGCGAGGGATTTCGCTCACGTTTTTCGAGAACAAGACGACATTGCCGTACCTGATCAACTTGGACGTCGACGCGTACCGGTCCATGCGCTTCATGTTCATCTTGTCCCAGCCGGTACAGTCCACATACGACGACGCGATGTTGTACCTGATTCTCCACGGTTCTGAGTCCATTTCGTGGCTCGTACAATCTGATTCAAACCGTGTCTGATTCCGCTCGTCAAATACGATACGACGCGATGTTGCGATGTTGCATCTGATTCTCCACGTTCTGACTCCATTACGTGACTCGTACAATCTGATTCAAACTGTGTCTGATTCCGCTCTGATTCTCCGTCGTTCTGAGTCCAATGTTGTGGCTCGTACAATCTGATCCTGGCAATCTGATTCTACTCTCGTGTGGGTTTGTGATATAAATATCTATCTGTATATCTAGTCGACGGTGGTGGGTATCAAAGGGGACATCAAGCCCATGTCGTTGAGCATCGTGGACGACCATTGTTGGTTTGAAAAGTCGCCAGAATCAGTGGGCGAAGATGGCGTGGACACGGGGGGCGTCGTGACGCTGGTCGTGGGGCGGGGGGAAGTCGTGTACAACGGCAAGAAGCTCGAGAGTGGGGCCAAAGTGCCCCTGGTTGCGTTTGACCGCATCGCCATTGGCAACGAACTCATGCTGTTTCGATACCCTGGTGGGTACTCTGTCGCATATACACGATAGGTTTTTTTCAAACGTGTGGTGTAGGTCGGGAAGTGCCGGGTACGGAGGCCCCGACCGCCGACGACGCTGCGAAAGAGTACCAGGAGGCGCTGCAAAGCCAAGACAAAGCTGCGATGGAGGCGCTGGAGGCGCAGAAGCGCCAGTTTGAAGAAGAGCGCGCGGCGTGGGAGAAGCAAAAGGCGGCGTTAGAACAAAGGCGGTTGAGTCATGCGTCTGCCGAGGAAGTCGCCGACCAAGAGCGCAAGTTGCAGGAGCTGGCGCAGCAGGTACAGACATACTGTAGTGTACTTTGTGTCTCCATATCAGCTACGACATGTAGGAGTCAAACAACCATGCAACATGTAGGAAAAAGCACGCCTCGCCCGACAAGTGAACGACCAGGAGCTGCGCGATGTGCTGCCCAAGATCAACGAACTCAAGCAGATCGTCGGCGTATTGAATCGGGACATGCTGAGCTTTGAGACGGCGCTCAAGGGGGCGGGGGGCGACGGCGAAGGTATGTACTACTGTACCTACCGCTCCTTTTCGAATCAGAATCAGAATCGGCCGGTCGGGGGTGAATCAGACGCTCGTGTTTTCAACGCAGAGTAGTTTGTGGGCGAGCCAGACTCGAGTGTTCGACATTAGATTTGAGTTTGTCTTGCAGTAGTGAATCACACGACTCTCAAACGCACCAACCCTCGACCTGTGACATGGTGACGTTGGTTTTGTTTATTGGGTAGGGATTCCGCAAGTCAAAGTCAAAGTGCACAACAGTATCACAGACGAAACGATTCTGCTGGACGTGTTTGAGTTTGTGAAAGCGTACGCGTTGCTCAAGGACGAGGTCGCGTTCCTCAAGAACGCCATCGCAAACAACCGCGAGTACTCGAGCCCCCAAGGCCACGACCCCATCACGCTGCTATTTGACAACTCGTTCCACGTCGGCAGCGTCACGAGCTTCCCCGAGTACCTCTTGTACAACTTGGAAACCGACCCCGACGAAAGGTACGCGTATGATCACGTCATCATATGATCACGTCATCATGTGTAGCAAAATGAACTTGAAGAACGCCGTGCCCCCGTTCAACACGATCGGCAAGCTCGAAGTTGTGTGGACGCCATTGAGCTCAGACGACGAAACCAAGCATGACGCGGCGGCAGTGGAGGACGTCGACGGCCCCGACGATCTCGTACGTGCGACATGACCGCAAAAATGATATATATCATCCCATGACAAACATCAAACTATGATATATCAGGTGGGCAAGCCGTGGACGTACAAACTGGAAATCAAACAAGCGCTGGGGCTGCCCATGATCACCGACTTGGCATACTGCCAGTACGAGTTCCTGGGGGAGATCTTCACCACGGAGAGCGTCGAGCAAAATACGCGCAACCCAGCGTTCAACTACGCGCATATTCACCACATTCCTTGCGTCACGCCCGAGTTCGTCCAGTACTTGCAGAGCCACCGCCTGGAATTCCAGCTGTTTATCAACCCGTACATTCTGGACCCTCCTAAAGATGCGATTTCCACGTCCAACGACGCCATTGTGCGCAATCTGGGCGGCACCGTGCAAGGTACGATATATATACTAGGTACCATCGCGACAACTCATCGTGACATGCCGTGAAATAGTCAAAGTGCCGTACCAAGGTAATATTTCCTCATACTGCGATAACGTCATATGTGATTGTTTTGTGTGTGTGTCGTAGAATTGGACGCCAAAGTGCATGCGTTGGAAGCGAGTCAAGCGAAGTTGGTGGACGAAATCGCATACTTGCGCCAAATATTCAAAGCCGCCACAGGCGCGTACGTGATCCATCCATGAAAAGGTTTCGTGTCATGACGTTATCAGGGACGCGCCAGAGTTTGAAGGCCCTGCCAGCAACAGCATCGCAGGACCACCACCCAACGACGCCACGTCCACGCCACGACACAAGTTGGAGACGGCCAAGTCCCGGGACTCGCTCCTGAACACACCTGCGACAACGTTTTGAGGAGCATGCTGCCCTGGTTCGTTTGTGGACGTCGTCCATGTAGTTCTAGCGATCCGAGTGGATACTTTGCACACTTTAACAACAGTAACGACATACATGTATGTACTGTACACAGTAGGCGACGTACCGTACTAGTTCGCACGAAGCGACAATGAAATAGTATGTATGGCAATGGCTTGGGTACAGTACGTGCCCATCAATGCAGAATGTGTCCACGGCGCATGTACAGCCAGCATACCGGTATGCAAGTTAAAAGATCGAGGATAGTATACTTACTGTACAAGAGCCCCCCGTGCCTGCTGACTCACGCGAGTAGAAATGTGTAATTGCGCGAGGTCACATGTTGACAAGCTCTACATCGATGACGTGGTGTACTTCGATTAACGGGATTTACTACTTGTTCTGGTCGATCAACGCCTTCAATGCCGCGAAATTGGCACCCACGAGTTCGCCGACCTTGGCGGAATCCTTGTAGAGATGGAACGTGGGCATGGCGGAGATGCCGAGCTCCCCGCTGCAGCTGTCGCTTTCGTCGACGTCGATCTCAAAGAACACGACGCTGGGCTCTTCCCGCGCCAAGTCGTGCACGCGGGGCTTGATCCCTTGGCAAGGACCGCACCACGTGGCCGTGAAGTCCACGACAATCAGCTTGCCTTGGTACTCGGGCTTGGCGATCTCGCTCTTGAAGGCACTGGCGCTGGCAAACGAAAGCACGTGGACACCGGTCATGTTAACGAATTCTGGGGCCGACTGGACTCAACGAATAGGTTTTTTGTTTACCGTGTTATTAACTGCAAGTATTTCACGTTTTTTGTCAAAACGACATTTTGACGTGTTGGACAATATTCAGCCAAAGACTTGCAAAGTAATCGGCAAGCGTTCTGTCATCCCGTAGAGCAAGCTCACGGTAGTACCATAGTAGTCAAACACAATTGCTGCCGTCTTTAGCGTGACTTACATATACTAATACGCTATATTGTCAAGTCAATGTCCTTGGCCGAAACAGGTTATATGTTTAACGTTGAAAGTGTCACGTTGAATGATTATGATTGGGTGTAAATGAACTCCCCTTTATGATTGGTGGATTCCACCAGCCAGTCAGATTTCGGCAATACCCACAGCGTAAATCACAAATCAAAAATGTTCCAATTGGCGCTGTTCCAGCCGCGAATTCCTCCGAACTGCGGCAACATCATGCGCCTGGCAGCGAACAATGGATGCATCCTACATCTCATTGAACCATTCGGTTTCAACCTGGATGAGAAGAGTGTGCGGCGCGCAGGACTGGACTACCGCGACATGGCAGTGGTTCGTCGACATGTCAACTTTGAAGCGTTCAGTGAAGCCGTGGCCGGTCATCGCATTCTGGCGTGCACAACCAAGGGGAGTCGACCATACACAGAAGTGAAGTACAACCCAGGAGATGTTCTTCTATTTGGGTCTGAAACCAGTGGACTCCCCGATGACGTCCGCAACAACATTGCCGAAGAACTCCGCATTCGGATTCCCATGCTTGCAGACTCGCGAAGTCTGAACTTGGCCAACTCCGTGTCCATTATAAGCTACGAAGCATGGCGTCAAAATGATTTCAAAGGCGGTATTTAATGAGATAGGTGTAGTGTAAGCGAGAACGAATGTAAAGTAACCGTACCAATGCAGAGACTTATTGTGCGAAAAGTTAAGAGTTCAGCCTCATATAACTGATTTTTGACGTTTGTCGTCACTTAATTTACTTTTTTGCATCCCCAACGGTGAAAATAATCCGCATAACAAGCTCGTCCAGTTATGGTGACTCTGAAGCATGGAACAACAACGACATAGACAACGAATTAGGCCCTACGCTCAAGTACAGTCCCAACTTACATAGTAATACTGACTAGAGTTCATGTTGATGAGGACAAAACTGCGAATTTCAAGCTGCATGGAGGGTCAATTTGCCCACTTGTTGACCTCGAAAGGTACGATACTGTATCGCTCACGAGTACTGTAGTGTCGCTCAACCCAGTCAGTAGGGTACTGTAGTCAAAGGAGGCAACTCCGACCTCAATTGCACTGCAATTCTCGAACCAACCGTGCTTCGGAGAGCATCTAACTAACGAGATATCCATGCTTGCATTGATTGGTGAGTACTCTATACGTCAAATAATAGTCAATGATTGGCTTCTGTATTTTGCCGTCTCGCGGTAAAAATATACCGTTTCCGGTAGATTCCGTCGCACCGGTGGTGGGGTTGCCAAAACTGTATATTTGGCCTCAATAATGGTAAAATAGCGTTTAAGTTACCGTCACACCATTAGGAATCCACCTTCAAATTGAGTTACAAGTACTACTACAGTACGTACTCCGGAGTATATACGTATACATAAGTTAGCTCAATTTCCTGTAATAATTTATAAACCTCTATAAATTGAGTTTCTTACAGCTAATACTACAGTACGGTACAGTACTATTAAGTAGGTACTGTAGTATCCAGACTATAAGTACGATTTGTCTAAAGTTCGAGGATAGTATCCGGATGCCATTTCATTTGTGGTGCGGGCCAAACATATCCGGATACCAGACCTTTCTGCTGCCGACGGGTTCAGTATTCCAGTCAGCGGACAAACGTGAACATGCAGCGAGCCACCATCCAAACCCTGGCGAAGGCCGTCAAGGCCCAAGCACCTGCGCAAGTTCGCCTTCTGTCTTACACGGAGCGCCAAGCGCGCCTCGGGCGACCGGTGTCGCCGCATGTGGAAATCTATGCGTTCCCCATCACGGCGCTTTCGTCCATCACGAACCGCGTGACTGGGACGGCATTGTCGGGTGGGTTCGCTGCCGTCGGTGCGTTGTCCGTGATTGGTGCGGACGTCCCGTCGTTGATCTACTCTGCGCAAGAAATCATTCCGTTCTTCGCCCCTGTCTCCAAATTCGTCGTGGCCTTCCCGATCACGTATCACTTCCTCTGTGGGGCTCGCCAATCGGTATGTTTGTCGTGTTGCTGACTTAAAGGACTTACGCGTGTATTGTGATGTGCGTTCATGTAGATCTGGGACAACAACCCGGACCTTCTGTCGCCTCCGCAAGCCGCCCCCACGAGCTACGCCCTTTTTGGCGGTGCCGCGGTGCTGAGTTTGGGTGCCGCTGCCATCACCATCAAGCGAGAATAATTATACAGTCGTATCTCTCTCTCAAATGTAAACCCAATGCTTGCTTCTGCAGCAGTAACGCTCCATGTCGTCCACGTACGATTGCAAATACGGTAATGACGATTTCATGGTTTGGGAACGCGCGGCACCTACTGTACATCATGTACCGGTACCTGGAGCCGACGTGCATTAGATGATAGGCCGCCCGCCCCTCAACTATACGTACATATGTGCTGGTAAGATATGGACTACAGCCGATGCCCCCCTCATATACACAGACAGCAACGACAGGTCGAACGAGGGGACAAACATGTAATATGTGGTCGGATAGACACATTCACTGAAACTTGGATACGAAGAATTTTGATAAATGAATCATCTAACAATACTGCTTAAATGAATTCTTCGTTTGAAGCGTGCACATGACACAGCGACCAGCGTGGTTCCACATTAACGCCGATGACTGATGCCCTACGTTATATGATTCATACTAGTCTACCGTATACCTTCATGGGTACTGATCCATAAGGTATACGGTAGACTGCATGAGCTTGGGAGGGCGTTACAAGTACTGAAGTAAAGAGGTTTTGCTTAATTAAGTTCCATTATTTATATATTTTCGCGTCGCTCATTCGTCACTACAGTATTCCATGAAATCCCTGTCACTTGGGCAATGCTCCGACGTCGGGTATGTTATGAATCGTATATAGTACTCTTTGATTGGCTAATATTATAGCTTTAATTCCTCAACAGCCAATCAAAACGCTTTATTCACTACTTCAATCTTCGTTCTCATTGGGCAACCCTACCCCGTGCAGATCGCTCAGCTTTTTTTTATCTGGTCTCATCTTGCAACAGTGCCTGTCATGCCCAAGTTCACGGTACATTCGCGTCGTTCCCCCTGTCCACTGTCGTCATGGACTAGCGCTAATGATCCTCCTAGGCAACCCACATCAGCGACGAAGTCGACATTCGACTCACGGATGCGAACAAAGCGTTCACTCCCACTACCCTCGTGCACCAACTCACAGCCACGGCGACCAAATTCTCCGCTCAAGAAGCTCTCCATTACAAGAAGAATGACGTGTGGTACGTGTCATCGTCCCTTCCATGCGTGATGCCTCATCCCAACATGTAGGGAAGCGTACACGTGGGCGCAGTACCACAACTTCAACCTTCGATTCGCGAAAGCGTTGCGCCACATCGGTTTTGAGCAATTCGACACGGTGTCCATTTCGGGCTTCAACGCCCCCCAATGGTTCTTTGCGTTCATGGGAGGGTTGTATCTCGGTGGTGCGGCCACGGGTATCTACACCACCAACAACGCAGCCACGTGTCAATATGTGTTGTCCAACTCGAACGCCAAGGTGGTTGTGTGCGACGATGACGCGCAGCTCAAGAAGTTCATCTCCATTGCCGACCAATTGCCCAACCTCAAGGCCATCGTCGCTTGTACGTATCCATTCTCGTCCTAATGCAGAATCGAACCTCATGTTTGAGTTTCCAGGGAAGGCCGACCTCGTGGCCGCCGGTGCCGCCGCGTCCGCCGTCCCCGTGTACTCGTTCGAGTCGTTCTTGGAACTAGGCCAAGATGCGTCGGATGCATCCATCACGGACGACTTTGACAAGATCCACCCCGGTCATTGCGCGTCCCTCATTTACACGTCCGGTACAACCAACACTGCTTCGACCTCCCCCTTTTAACATGTTCTTCAATTGGTTGACAAACAATCTGCGAAACGACGTACATTCCCACTCGACCCATGACGTTAGGCACGACGGGCAACCCCAAGGGTGTGATGCTGTCCCATGATAACGTCACGTTCACGACCGCGACCGTCAACTCTGGGTTTCCTGGCGGCGCCGGCTTCTTCACGAGCACCGAGCGCCTCGTGAGCTTCCTCCCCCTGTCGCACATTGCCGGCCAATTGCTCGACATTGGCCAGCAAGCGTACTATGGTAATACCATCACTCTCGCACACATATCTTCGTTGTTTTATTGTTTGTCTTATTTAAGGACCACTTTAATATAATAGGTCTTTTTGTGAGGACCGTATTGTGCTTTCGAGTGAAATTTCGTGTTGTGGCGTGGTTTGTCGTTGGAATTTAAATCGATTTGATTGGCTACTTCAGATGAGCTCAAAAGTATTAGCCAATCAAAACCGTCTCAATGAAATTCAACCAATCAGATCGATTGTGGATCGGTTTGGTCGGCGGATTTGATTGATTGCACCCCCTCCCCAAATTTGTATCAAGTCGACAATACTTTTGTATTTCTTTTTTTTTTCAAATATATATATATATATATATTCTCGGACACGTTCGATTGTCAAATGTATTAGGGTTCCACATCTACTTTGCCGAGCCGGACGCGCTCAAGGGATCGTTGGGCAAGACTCTAAAGGAAGTGCGTCCGACGTACCTACTGTCTGTGCCTCGAGTGTGGGAAAAGATCTTTGAAAAGATGTCTGACGTCGGCCGCTCGACCACGGGACTCAAAAAGTCGATAGCCACGTGGGCCAAATCGATTGGTTCGGAGAAGTCGCGACTGAGCGAGTACGGCAACAGCGGCGGGGTCCCCTGTGGCTTTTCTATCGCGAACGCGCTCGTGTTGTCCAAGGTCAAGGACGCGCTGGGGTAAGTAATATATGATGCTCATGTTTAGAATGATTTATATATAGTATTGAAACTATAGACTGGACGAATGCAAGGCGTTCTACTCGGGCGCGGCGCCGCTGACCCCCGAAGTGGTGGCGTACTTTGCATCGCTGGACATGCCGCTGTTCGAAGCCATGGGACTGAGTGAGACGACGGGCATCTCGTTTTACAATTATGCACATCGCTGGAAACCAAACTCGATCGGACCGGCCATCGCCGCCACTGAAGCGCGGGTGAACGCCGACACGAACGAGTTGCAGGTATTGGCCATTCTTTGTACTGACTGCTGTAAAGATCGTCTAGGTTCACACTAATTTCAATCACACACTAATTCGATGTTGGATTTTCCAAGAGTGGATTGGATTGGCCAGATGATTCATGTTTTGTGTTTTGATTGGTCGATATATATCGATTCTCTGCCTTCGATTTGGTGCTGCTGCTCATTCGATTACACTCGAATTTCGAGTATCGAATGAACAATATATTTATACCAATTGATGTCGTCGCATTGTATGCCGTCCACAGGAATTATATATTGTTTTCGCATGTCGGCTTATTGTTTGATACGTTTGTTTGCCTGTGCTTTGACGTACTTACTGTATGGTCTATAGAATTATTATGGGAACTTTTTTTTGTGAAATAATAATGTCGATAGATACATCTTTTTAATATATATACCAAGTATATATATATACCGAGTATATATATATACTCGGTACTGTAGAAGAGTTTGAAAAGCACAATATGGCAACATGTTTGATATTGAGATATACCTAGTACTGTAAATGACTCGTGTTGTAGTTGATATAGTGTACAGTTTGTATTGGAGATTCGGTATGAATTTCCAGACCCTCGTTCAATCGAATCTCGCCGACCGAAACGAATCTCTCTGATTGGTCCCACTCCGAAATAACTTGTTTCTGATTGGCTACAATTCAATTTCGAAAAGGGCAAAGTCGATATAGTTCAGCCAATCAAATGTCTCGGTTTGTCAATGAAACATGGGAAATTTGGAGAAAATCGACAAAATTGTGGATAATTCCGTAATTTCCAGACCCCGTCAAATCGAATATCTCGCCGGCGAATCGAATCACGAATCGACGCTATTCTCCAATTTTGAGTGTATTTGATTGGCTCGAAAGGACAAGTATATTCAACCAATCAGAACTCCAGCATGATTGAATATTGATCAAACCACGCGAATTTCGCAAGTTTATAGCGAATTCACAATATATATATGCTTTATACACTTGTATATACCATTAGTTGCACATGAATCGTTAAGATACTCGTTTTGCTCGACATTGTAGATCCGAGGTCGCCATGTGATGATGGGGTACTTGAACAACCCGGAGCAAACTGCCGCCGCCATCGACGCCGACGGGTGGCTATCGTCGGGCGACTGCGCGCGGATCGACGCCGACGGGTTTGGGTTCATCACTGGCCGCATCAAGGAGCTCATCATCACGGCGGGCGGTGAGAACGTGCCCCCGGTGCTGCTGGAAAGCGCGATCAAGGAGGAACTGCCGATCGTGGGCCACGCCATGGCCATCGGGGACAAGCGCAAGTTTCTCACGGCGCTCGTGTCGCTGCGGGTGGTCATGGACGACCAGGGGGCGCCCACGACGCAGCTGGACGCGTCCGTGGTGCGCATCCTCACGGAGCTCGGGTCGTCCGCCACCACCACCGCCGACGCGTACGCCGACCCGCTGGTGCTCCAGCATATCGACGACGGAATCAAGCGCGCCAACCTCAAGGCCGCGTCCCGCGCGCAGTGGATCCAAAAGTACAAGTTTGTACCCGACTTTAGCGTACCTAACGGCGAACTCACCCCCACGCTCAAGATCAAGCGCGCGGTTGTGGCCAAGCAATACGCGCAACTCATCGATTCGCTTTACGAATAACGTTAAGATGACAGAGAATGAATGACGCCGTTGATATATACCAGTATCTATCTGCTCAAGGGATTGTGTTATACGGTATCTATCTGCTCAAGGGATAAACAACCAATGTCATTGTGGATTCGATACGAATTTCCAGACCCCGTCAAATCGAATCTCGCTGCCGAGTCGAATCACGAATCGACGCTATTGGCTAATCCATTTTTGAGTGGATTTGATTGGCTCTTGCAGAAAGCACAAGAATATTCAACCAATCACAACTCAAGCGTGATTCAATATGGACTGTAGACAAACCGAATATTGGACGGACGTTTATAGCGATTTCACAATACTTTTGTTATTTAATAGAAGTTGTCTGGAGTTTCACAAAATGGACTGTATATTTGGCCAATTAGGACATCGAAGTGCGCATGAATCGATGCCATTGGCTGTAATCAATTTTGTGGAAGATATTAGCCAATCAAAAGGTACAAGTTTCATAGCACTATTTTGAGTTTCGTATCCGGATACTCTCATCGCCCAAGTTGCTTGGACGTTTTTCGTGGGTTGACGGGAAGATGGAAGGGGACATGAATCCTACGGTGCTGGCTGCGATGAAGGCGCAGAAGGAATGGGCGAAAGCGGTGGCGTTCAACCAGGAGGGAAAGGTCATTGCGGCCACGGCCAAGCCCCTCGACGGAGAAATTGCGTACGTTTCCGCTAGCACCGTGGAGGGTGGCGAGGAACACAACTCATCATCCAGCGCTGACGACGTGGTGCTGTAGGGCATTCTTGAAACTCTTTGACAGCCGAGACGACACAATGGGCACGGGGATTGTGTATTTGAACGAACAGTACGATGTCCATCGATTCCACCCGCCGCTTATCTATGGCCGCCGAGGCGATCCTGCCAAGGGCGAAGGCGAAGGCATCGCCATTTGCAAGGTCGAGAAAGCGTCGGTCTACGTCCTCATCACATATGTCCTGCCCACGTTGTCGTCGCGCGCGGTACCGCAACTACAGGAATTCTGCGCCCAACAATGTACATGCATGACCACTTTGTTCCTTTCAGTTTCATCTTTGGTTTGTAGTCGAGTCGCCCTCGCAGTAGTACACAATCCGAACGCATCCAAGCCGAACAAGGATACCAACGAATACTGTCGCGAGCGAGCGGAGCGAAGGACTTGGGCTTTGTCTAGCAACGTGTAGCTGTGGACGGAGTTGACGATTACCACTGATGTGTTATGTGGTGGTGTAACGCATAAGAAGTCGATGCTAAAGTAAAGGAAGGTGTCGTCATGAGTTGCGTAGAAACGCTGCAGGATGTGGATGTTGACGCTTGGAGATGGGAGGTGAATGGGCATGTCGATTGATGAGACGTTGGATTATGCCGAGGCGGCGGCGGCGGCGGCTTGCTTTTGCTCCTTGAATTCCTTCCATTCCTTGTTGAATGCGCGCGCTTTGTCCATGTTGGCTTTGCGTCGGAACGCGTTTTCCTTGGCAAAACACTCGTTCAACGCGGCCTTGATGTCGTTGCACGACCCGACAAACTTGGTGTACGGGTGCTCCGCATGACACAGTCGCAGCTCGTCCACGAGCTACGTCGTGACGTGATGATCATGGCGGTCGCATGCGAGCTATGACAAACGTACCGCTTGGCATTCCGGATGGGGCTTGTCCAGTGACGAGTGCATGATGTGGCCTTGAACCTGAAAATGACGCGCAAAGTACGGCTCACCACAATAAATGAATAATGGTTTATAGTAGCTAATAAATCATAAATGGTTTATAGGAAACTAAGAAAGGATAGAATATGTTAATTACTCCCTCCGTCAGTATAAATAACCCAAATAAACACAATACTAATATTATATTACTAGTATTGGTTAAGGGCACTACAGAGACCTTGATTGCATTATGTGTTGCTGAATACACTTGACATTGTATCATCTCGGAGGAAATTCCGTTGAATACAGTAGTTGTGTCCAAATTAGGTCAAAATGAGTTTTATATGAGCGTCGTAACGTTAGTGAATCTTTAACAACATCGACGACCAATCGAGTGCCCCATGCTGTAAAACGTTACGCATATTTCCACTTTAAACCAAGGCGGTACCGAGTACTGTATGGTAAAAAGTACTACGTAGTACCTATAGTCACGAATTGTTAATTTGTGAGGGGAATCGCGTGAAGCAAGTGGAACGCGCCTTCGTCGTGCAGTCGCTTGCGTTTCGAGTCAGGTTCGTCGATGACAAAGAGGCGCCAGATCTTGAGGTCGAAAACGTAAAATGTATTCGTCACTTGAATGGATAAGATTCCATTGATCACGGCGGACGCTGGGTCGATGTAGTACTACACCTAGGAACTAACCTTTCATTTCACCGAATACATCAAATAGTCACAACACGTACTTTGTCTTCAGTCCAGTGCTTAGGCTCAAACACGTACTTCGCCGACGCCGACAAAAAGTACGATGTCTGGCCTTGCGCCCCCAGGTGGGGATGACGTAACCGTTCGTACGCATAGGAAATGAAGATGGACCTGACGCACACCCCAATGAGGGTTTCAAACCGCCCAAAACTACCAATGGCAATCGTGCCTACCACAAGTGCAATGTCAAAGAGCAAACTCAACACATGGTCATTTCATTGATCCAAAAGTCAAAGTGAAATAAATCATATCGGTTCAAAGTGATATATATCATAACTCAGATCCCACACCGACAATAATCACAGAGTACTCGCCACTAGTGCACACCAATTGAAAGTCTACTTGCGGCATTTCACACTGCCTTGTCATGGTGGCGGTATGCACTGGTACCCCACGGGCGTGAGTGTGAGTACTTGGGTGCTCAGCAGCGAAATCGCCGCCAGTCCTCTTACAAACAGCAGCGTGTGGCCCACCCATACGACGCCCGCCACCCGATTGAGCTCGAGCATGTTGAGGCCCTCCACATACCCCCGATTGGCCAGCAGGTACAACGTAGACAAGAACGCCACGCAAATGATAGCGCTGGTCATGTACAGACATGCGTAGCGAATGTACGACGCCACGTTCACGGGCACCTCGAGGGGTTTCACTAAACTGTCGACGTCAGGCGAGTTCGTCGTCAGTAGGTTGATCGTTCCGCGGTCGCCTTGCAGCGAAATCACTTCGCGTTGGGCTAGACACCACTCAACACCAAACACCACGAGATCAAGTGGAAACCTGGCAGCGACTCATCAAACAGGGCATGTCGAAGAAACGTCACATTGGACGAAGTAGACTCGACCGTCCCGTATTGAAACACTTCTACAGCCACGTTTCGAACGTCAGCTTGAGCGGTGGCGGCTAGCGCCGCTATGGTCGAGAACCACACCTCATTGTCGCCAAAGTAGGATGAATTCTTGAGAAAGCTTAATGGGCGATCGAGCATTAGTGCTTGGCACACGTTTGGGCACAGCGCCATCCCTTCGTGTGTGGTGTTCACGGACGGGACGACCATATTCAACGCGATGACAGCTGTGAGGTGATTGAATGTCGTGGGCGTGATGAATTCGCCGACCCCGGCATTGCAAGCTACCCCCGCACCGGTGAGAACCCAAAGTCCCCCTCGAGCACCCACGTCGTGCTTTCCGGACACATGATCTTGCCCCCCGCGCCATGCACTTGGCCACTTTCAAACCAGGACGCTGGAATGTAACAAAATTCCGAGGGATCGTACATAGCGGAGTATTCTGCCGACAAGGACAGGGATTTCGTCCGCAACCGCGTCATTGTGTCTTTGACGTGCAGCACAAACCGCACCACGGATGGGGGAACTGCCACGTGCTTGACGTCCACAGACCCGAACGGCCCGATGGTGTCGCGGAAGGTGGCAAATGCACCCGACTCGACCTGTGCGGCCGTGCCATTTTGAAGCACCACCGACTCCATCGAGACATTCGCGAAGGCAAATTGCCCCATTTGTCGCACCAAACTCTTGCCAAAGATGAATGTGGACGGGTCTGTCACAGCCCACAGGTCACTCGCAAACGCCCAGTACATTTTCATGCTGGTTTGGGCGTTCAATTGAAAAGTCCCGTTCGTGTGCTTGAGGGTCATGGGGTACGAAAACCCAAACGCGTTTTGGATGTTGTACGTGTCGATGATCCCAATCGACTTGTAGTTTTGCCAGTCCGTGTCAAAGGTTGAAATGTTGTGCGTGTGCCACACCGCCACTTCGTCTAATTCAGAAGTCACCGTCGATTCAAGCGACGTCCACCAAGCCGACCCATCGGAACTCGATCGCAAGGGGGCCGCAATCGCAATCTCCAGGGACCTTCCCCAACACGACTGGAGCGTCGCCCACTGCACATTGCGAAGCACTGCCTCCAAGTACACAGCCCTATTCGTTGCATACTTCGAGGCACACCGCGCTTGGCGGGCCACAGAGTTGGCCATTTCCCACCGTTGTTGGAAATCGAGCCAGCAGTACTGCGTAGCGATCTACGGCGCCATGCACGCATCCATGTGTCGGAGGCCCCGGACCACCGCCTCCAACTTGGTCGCGTCTGCGAGCTTGATTTGCGACACGCACAGTGATGGCATGGATACCCCCACGGCAGTGGCCAACACGGAGCTGTAGTTGGTATCGTCGACGAAGATGTGGTCGTCGAGTGCAATTGAATTGGCCTCGGGACGCAGCACCGTCTCGCAGTTGTACATTCGAGCAATGAACACGTGTTCCCGGGAAGCGTTGTAGTTGGCCCACCAAAAATCGTTCGCCATGTTGGTCTTGGTGAGGGACAAGTACGTGAGGCTGCCAAACACAGTGGCAGACATGTAGCCAAGGCCTGCGAGGGCGATAACACGCATGTAGCGTTGGGGGCGATAGTCTTTCGGAGAGGGGGGGGATGTTGAGGGGGAAGTCACCAGTCCAGATTTCAAGGATGGGGCGAGAAACACTGTCATATTCCACTTGAACACTCGGGGCTTGGCACTTGCAGAAGGTTGGTATAATTTTTTGGGTGGTCAGCAGCCACAGTTTCAAGTCGAAAATGTACCGTCGAAACGTGAGCAGTCCACACATGACGCACTACGCCCGATCGATCAGTATCGCTCCATTGAGCACAATGTCCTTAGAAGGCAGTGGCTGTGCCAGACACGAGCAAGTGGCCGCTGAATGCCGGTGAGGAGGAGAGTATGTTCACGCACTGCCACAACCACACCCCTCCGAACGACATGACAATGCTGGACAAATGCATCAACACCAACGTTACTGCTCTATGAACGTCGCCTAGCTGCACCGCCCCGCGTTTGCAGACGATCGTCATCCGGGCGTAGTCAATGGCGCAGTTGCGATCGAGGGTAGCGTAGAGTTCTGTGGGTGCACCCATGTCCCAACAGACGTACACGAGCCAGCTAAGTCCGGCGCTGAGGGGGGGAAAACTGGGTTCTGCGTTCCGTGACAGAAGCAGCAGAAAGTCATTGAACACATAAGTAATCCACATGGCTTCCCCCGACACGAGCATCGACTCCGGCAGCATTCGGGGATGAAACTCGAACGACGTGATGCGTTTTTGCGCGATCACTCGGATAGGGTGGTGCTGAGAATCACGATGGCCATCATTCCACGGATCATGAGGAATGGCCGGCCGAGCCACATGGCCCCGACATTGCAATTGAACCGAAAAAGGTTGCGACCGACGATGCGACCCCGCAGCAGCGCTGTATACGCGGTCATGAGGAGCCCCACAATCACGAGGATGACACTCATGATGGCCTAGATGACCCACACATACTGACACGCACTCTTTGGAACCTCCAAATCCTGCGCTTCATAAATTAGGGGGGCCGACTTGTCCGACACGAGGGCGAATATCCCATTGTCGCCTTCAAACGACACCACTTCCGGAGACACTTCGGCCCACTCAAACATGTATACCCATCCGAAAAAGTCCCACTTGTCGTCGTCGCTGAGCACCAAATCCATGCCCCCACGACAAGATCAGTGTGGTCCAAGAGCCCCGGATTTCCATCGCCACCTTCTTGATTGCCAGCGACTGCCTCACCCCAAACGCGTTGGTCACATCTACCGACTCCTTGACCCCCCATATCAATGGCATGTTATCCGTTCAAGTGAAAAATACTTTTTACATTTTCGACCTCAAGATCTGGCGCCTCTTTGTCATCGACGAACCTAACTTGAAACGCAAGCGACTGCACGACGAAGGCGCGGTCCACTTGCTTCAATGGATTCCCCTCACAGATTAACGATCGCGGTCGCCATGGGCCTCCAAGTATTAATCTATAGATTGCACTTTTTCGAACGGCTTAGATGGTGGGACCCGTCCGGTCAAAGTTTCACCGAACGGCAGCACAAGACCGCCCTAATCGTGTAAGAATAAATTGGTATACAAACCAAAGAGACCAGCTACATGCATGTCAATGCCTTTGGTTTGCAGAAAAGGAAGAAGTTGCCAATTGGAAGGAGTGAGGGGGGGACGGCAGTGCGGACACGACGGCGCATGAACTACTAGTACAGTGATTCTACATAGTATCGCCTGACTACTAGCGCGTCTTGCCGACACTATTTGGCTTCGTCTGTGAGCCTTCTGAATTTGTCTTGTCCATACGTGTCTGCCTGGTCACAATTGATTTCGTGCGTTAGTTCGTTGGCAGCACTGACCATTCAGACCACAATTGCCAATTACTACCATAATAAACCGCAAAGTTGTTTGCCTCCAAGCCATCATCACGTTCCTGACACTCTTCCTGCGAGAACCTTCGTCGGGGGCTATAGAAAGGTTGGCTACTCCACTTTGCCCTTGAAACCGCCGCCTCTCTCACTGGATGAGGGGAATCGCAGTCAGCAAATGAAACGCCCCTTGCGCTTCCTTCTGGCGGCGCATCTCGGGGGTTTCGTCGATAACAAAAAGGCGCCAACTTTTCAAGTCAAAAATGTAAAACGTGTGGGTCAGCCGCACCGACAATATGCCGTTGATCGCGGCCGACGACGGATCCAGGAAATACACCTACAAAAACATAGTTAAATACCATCCCATAAAGTTTATATGACAGTCGTACGCCGTTGTCCATCCATTTCGCTGGGTCAAACACGTATTTCGCCGACGCAGCGAGGAGCAGCGAGTCATATGTTGGTGGCTTGAGCCCAGGCCGTCGGAGCCGCTCATAGGCGTAGCACACGACAGTTGACCCGACGCAGAGTCCGACCAACGTGCTGAATCGGCTAAAGCTGCCGATCGCGATCGTGCCTACGGTGTCACACAATGATCACGATACACTGAACACCTATGCACGACTTACCACTTCGACACACGAGCTGAAAATCCACTTGGGGCATGTCGCACTCTCGACTGATCGTGGCGGAGTGGGTAGCCGGAACAACCCACGACAACACGGCCGACACCCCCCAAATCATAAAGTTGCACTTGATCACGTATGCGGTCGTGTACTGCTGGGTCACGCCGACAAAGATATCGTTCAGGACAAATCCAAGCCACGACACTTCCCCTGCCGCGAGGAACGTTTTCACAAACCGCATGGTTTTGTCAGTGTTCGACTCGGAGGACGACATGGTGATCTGGGACTGGAAGCCCCACAAGAAGGTGTTGACCACGTCAAGCGTTAGCACCTCCGTGCTCAGCAAGCCGATAGCTGACAAGCTCCGTACCAGCAGAATCGTGCGCCCAATCCAGACAATACCCGCCACCCGATTGATTTCGAGCAAGTTGAGCCCTTCCACATACCCTTTGGCGAGGACAAGGTAGATCGTAGCCAGTGCCGCCACGGAAATGATGACAGTTGTCACGTAGATACATGCGTACCGGATGTACGCGGCCACGTTGACGGGGATTTCCAGCGGGTTGACCAGACTGCCTATGGCGTTCGTTCGAGACGTGATGGCGTGAACATTCCCCACGTCGCCTTCGAACGCAATCACGTCCCGGATGGCCATGGCCCAATCAAACACGAGCAGCCACGACACATAGTCAAACGAAGCTAACGATTCGTCAAACAAAAGCTGGCGAAGCAGGTGAATTTCGGGGGACGCTGGGTCGTACGTGGCGTACTGAGCAACCTCGACCGCAGCGGCTTGGACATCTGCCTTGGCATGTTTTGCGAGGGCTTGGAACTGCGATAGCATGGCGCGTTCGGGGGGGAAGTACGTCGCGTTGCGGAGAAATTTTCTCGGGAAGTTTAAATACGAACTGATGCAGTCGTTGAAATCCATGCCTACGAAGTGGGCGCAGATCGGCTCGACGTCCGCCCACAGCACGTTGTCCCGCGTGAGGTTGGTGCCTAGCGTGGCCAACACGAGAGCCATTGGCGACGCCACCACAAACTCCCCCAGCGGGTCGCCACAAGGCGTGAACGCGCCCGTGGTGATTCGCATGCCACCACCCATATACCCGCTGGAGAGGTCGTGGCAAAGGAGGTTCCCGCCCACACTGTACAACCAGCCCTCCTCAAGCCAATGTACCGGCACGTACCCTACTTGAGAGGGGTACTCCAGCCTTGAATACGCTTGCAAAAACAAACTCGATGTCGCCAGCTGTCGGGCCAACGTGTCTTTCACTGTACTCACGTACAGCACCAACGACGGGGGCACAGGAACGTGCTTAAGGTCCACCGATCCGAATGGCCCAATGACGCTTCGAAACACTGAAAAGGCGCCGCCGGTTCCAGAGATGACTGAGACAGGAATTGTGCCATTTTGAACCAGCACCTCCTCCAAACTGACGTTCGTAAATGCAAAGTCGGCGTTCTGTCGAATTAAGCTCTTGTGATATATGATATTGGACGGCTCAGAGATTGCCCAGAGGTCGCTCGCGAAGCCCCAGTACATTTTCATGCTGGTTTGCGTCGCCCATCGAAACGTGCCGTTCGTGTGCTTAAGTGTCATGGGGTATGCCACGCCAAATGCATTTTGCACGTCGAACGTTTCAATCAGTCCGATGGTTTTGTAGTTTTGCCAGTCGGTGGAGAACGACGAGATGCCGTGGGACTGCCACATTATCACTTCCTCGTCCTCCAAAGTTGTGGCGGCGACGGATGGAAGCGAAGCCCACCACTGCCTTCCAACGTTGGTTGATTGAACGGTCGATCCGAACGCTGTGTCCACTGACGATCCCCAACAAGTCTGCAGCTGCGACCACTGCACGTTGCGCAAGACTGACTCGAGAAACACAGCTGCATTCCCCGTGTACTTGCGTTCACACCGCGCTTGCCGGGCTGCGGAGTTGGCCATTTCCCAGCGCCGTTGAAAGTCCAGGTAGCAGTACTGTGTCGAAATCCACGGTGCGAGACACGCGTCCATGGTGCGAAGGCCGCGAACGACGGTCAGTAACTTGGTGGTTTGGTCTATTTGGACTTGGGAGACATACGACCTCGGCATGTCCACGGTTGGGGGGGTCAAGGACGTGATGTTAAAATTGGAGTCGTCCAAGAAGCGATTGTCGGTGAGGTCGATCGGTCCTTCCGATGGCCGCAGCACGAGCTCTCGATTGAACAGCCTCGCCAAGTACACATGTTCCCTAGAGCTATTGTAGTTGGCCCAGAAAAAGTCATTGGCCAAGTTGGTTTTCGTCAGAGTCAAGTACGTGACACTTCCGACGATGGTCGAGCCCATGTAAAGCAGTCCTAGCACGGCAGACCGGCGATTTATTGGAACATGTGATGTGAGTCGTTCTCTGGCTTTTACTGGACGTGGTCTGCGCCACGGGGTTCAACTCGGCAGCATCGAACACCTTCATCCCCCACTTGACCTGTGACACGTCGGGTTGATGCACTAAGAGCCACAATTTCAGGTCGAAGATGGAATCTCGGACTGCAAGAAGGCCACATATGGCGCAGGACGCGCGGTCAATTTGCCAGGTCCCAGTGTCCGCAATGTCCTTGTGCAAGAAGGCAGATGCCGTGCCGGAGAGGAGGAGGTGGCAGTTGAAGGTTCCACCGTCAGCCTTGAGCTTTCTCACACAGTGCCACGCCGCGACCAGAAAAAACGAAATCACAGAACACAACGCTTGGACCAGTAGACACGTCAAGGCTCGGTTGACTTCGCCAAGCTGCACAGACCCGCTTTGGCACAACAGTTTCTCTCGAATTCTGTCGATGTGACAACTTCGACGCAACGTTGTGATGGCTTGCGGGGGCTGCCAAACGTCAAAACTGACCATGATGAGCCAGCTTAGACCTGCGCTCAGGGGGGCGAAGTGGGGCTGCGCATTGCGCGACATCAAGAGCAAAATGTCGTTCAGGACGTATGTAATCCACGTGGCTTCCCCAGCGACGAGCATGGATTCCACCAATGAACGCGGTTGAAACTCAAACGAAGCCATGTTGTGGCGAGTCACAAACGTCAGCGGGGCGGTGCTGAGGACGATAATGGCGGTCATGCCGCGCAAGAGAAGAAATGGCCGGCCAAGCCACACGGCTCCGACAATGCGATTGAACTGAAACAAGTTGCGACCGACGATGCGCCCTCGAAGGATTACGGTGTAAATGGCCACCAGAATTCCCACAACGACGGAAATCACAGACACGGCGATCGAAATGACCGACAAGTACTGGGAAGAACTGTGGGGCACTTCCAACACTTGGGCTTCGTGGATGTTGGGTTTGTACTTGTCCGAGATGAGCTTGAGCGTGTGGAAATCGCCTTCCACAGACACCACTTCCCGAGTCATTTCTGCCCACTCAAACAGATATATCCACCCAAACACGTCCCAAGTTGAGCCGACTAGATCAGAGTTGGAACCACTGAGCAACGACTGGTCGAGCAAGTACCAGTTGTCCTCGGACACTGCGTATTGAATCATGGTTGGATCCAACGCCACCACATCGTCACGGGTGGTAGGAGTTGCGTCTTGCAGGATACTATAGTGCAGAGAGCTTTGAAACAGGGTTAGCGCGTGAACCCCAGCCGCGAGGACACCTTGGCACGGACGCCACAATGTCGGGCACAGCGCGCAGATGTCGACAACAGGCGATGGCGACGATGCAAACAAACCAAAGAGGACGTTGAGGGAATGCAGTTGAAGGGTATGGCGGTCTTGAACACTGCATGTTTGATCGAAGGCAATCGAAGACTGCACAAATGGTTTGGGTTCTCGGTTCGAACAAGTAGGGTCGCCGCCCATGTACAACAGCTCATCCGAGTGCCACGTCACGGGCACTGGATCGACTTTGACGTTTGGAATTGCCGCCATGGCCTGTCGAAACGCGTCGTTCGACTGGAGCAACGCCGTCACCGCGGCCGTAAACGACCCCGCCAACTTTGTCAGCGACGGAGGAACTGGCACGAGGAACAGGTCGATCGATCCAAACTGGCCAATGTGCGTCCGCGTCAAGTGATACGACGGAGTCTGTGGAAGAAGCAGCCGGGACTCGGACGTCATGGAGCAGTCGTCTTCCGTGAGAGGGTGCTGGTCGTCGCACGGATAGCACGTGTACGTTTCAGGAGCTGCCACGTAATCGTCGTAGCTACAGGGGGGGTTGAAGCGCGGGTGGAACGGATCACTTCGAACGACGGACGACTGCAGCATGTACTCGTTCCAGGGCCCCCACGTCATGATGTACGTCGTCCACGCGCCACGAGACTCTTGCGCCGCCCGCTTGACCGTGATGGTTTCCACCGCGCCAAACGCGTTCACGACTTGAATCGTTTCGTCGATGCCAATGTCCTTTTGGTTGGAATATTGCAAGAGGTACCGGGTGAGACCGTGGTGCTCCCACAACGCGACCTCGGCATCGACTGTTGTAAACGCGTTGGCCGTACGGTTGAGCCACAACCGGCCCTCGCCCGTATCGCGTAAGGCATGTCCCATCAGCGCATCAAATCGCTCTCCAAACGCCCACATCCAAGAGCCCCATTGCGTCAGTCGGCACTGTGTTTCCCAGTACATGGCCGCGTTGTCTGCGTACCGCAAAGCACATCGTTGTTGGCGGCGGTTTGTGTGCGCCACTTCGAACGTTCGGTTGAAATCCACCCAGCAGTAATGCGTCGCGATCATGTCTGGATCGGAGAGGGTTTTGAGTGTGTGAATGATAGACGCAAGGTCGTTGGATTGCGAAAAGTAGTACATGGACCGCGTGTACACGGGGGGCACGTAGATGGGCGTCACGTACGTCGAGTAGTCTTTGACCATACCGTGCATAGTCAGGTCCAACGACGTGCTAATATTGTCGTTGGCAAACACAAGCTGCGAATTGAACACGTCGATGAGGTAGGACTGCGCCCCAGATGAATTGAATCCAGCCCACCACAGGTCGTTGGACATCACAGGAGCCAACAGGTGGAGGTAGTACAAGCTCAGCACGAGTGTAAACACAAGGTAGGTGATGCCAGACCCCGTTTCAACGACTTCCAGCTTGGTCATGGCGTCGTTGGTGGATTCTGGGGGAGCATCACTGGCGTTGGGATTGGCATATCGAGTGAACGAAAAGCGAGATTTTGATTCGTAACCCGTCAGAGACGCACGATCTTGCCGACGTCCAGACACTGCCGTGTCGTCCGTGGCTTCCATGACTTCATCTTGAAGGTTGTCGAACTGGTTGAACGAACAGGGATACACCCGGCCATTTTTGCCGGGTGGTTGGGCAACTTGGCGGGACTCCGTAGTCCGACGCAAAGCCGCATCGCCGTCGGGCTCGTCGTAGTTGTCAATAACCACCTCAGAGGTATCGGTGTCAGCTTTATCCATGTCGTCTCACAGCTCTTGCAAATGTGAAAGTACAACGGAATGCATTGATTCCAGCGACTGCTGCTGGCGTGTTGAAACAGCTTAAAACCGACATGAAACTGCTGGTTGAAACTCCTTGAACCGACATGAAACCGCTTACAATAACTCCGGCGTAATACACTGTATGGTCCTAACGTTACTAATATTAATAGTACTACGGTAGTACCTAAATGGTTCACAGTCAACTCATAGAGGTTGTACCGGTAGTACCGGTAATGTTAGAGGTTAATTGAGTTTGGATTATCATTTGTTTAAGACATTCCTCCGCGAGGGCCGATACTAGAACCACATGTTATACTACATTATATGTAGTAGTAATGTTAGAGGATTTGGATGCACAACACACAGCTCACAAGGGGTTTGCAAATTGGCAACCCCCTATTAATAGTTCAAGCACGAATAAGCTTATCAGTCACTTCCGTTAGGTGTACTGTACAATATGGTATGCCTGAGCGATGGCTTACTTAAGGGGACTGTTGGTTAAAATAGTTAGCGAGCCACGGATAACCAAGATCGCTGGCGACGCATTCGTGGTTATCCGCGAGTCGCTGGCTACGGTAGCGAGACAATGAAGCTGTAAAGGTGTTGGTAGCGGCCACGCTTTATCTAACGTTAAGGATTTTTTCCAAGGAGCCTCCGTTGAGCCAACGCGCGAATGGAAATCTTTCGTTCGGTCATTTCTCCCGTGAAGATTGGGCAGAAATTCACGAAACAAAAGTGACTCTAAGCTGTTGTGGAAGGACTTCGCATGTCATGAGAATGCATGGAATGTACAGTAAGGGAATCCCCAATGGTTACTGAAGCGTGGTGTATATTATACGTGTACTAACAGTAAGCTTAGTATATGTAAAGTATACTAAGCTTACTGTTATTGTAAGCTTACTAGTACTGTAACGTTAGTGCCAATTCACAAGGGTTTTCCACTACTTAGTACTTCGAAGTAGTAGTACTGGTAGAGTATGTTGGCGAAACGGTACCTTTTTATGAAACTGTCCTGTGGTGATCTTTGTAGCGTCTTTTGATTGGATAAATTTCCACCAATGGGCGTCGACATCGCACCTAGATTCGAGATTTTGTTTCACTTTCCATGGCGAATCTCAAGCTGCCGTGCTGTGGCCTCTTTGGTGGTCTGCTTGGCTACCTCTTCCAAAGCAACACCGTACCAGACAATGCGCCGTCGTCTGCGCACTACCGCCCCCCTCTCCTTACCAACTGGCACCCGTATACAACCCCTCTTGTCCAACCCGATATCATCGACATGCGTGGAGGTGGCCATCTCGACATGTACGTCGGCGAAGTCTTGCACGCGTGGGGTGGCGGCGCACCGTCCGGGACAGTGTATGGCTTTGGAAGGGAAGGCTCAGCTCCTTCGTTTCCAGGTCCGACCATCCTAACCGCGCGGAATGTCCCCATCTCCGTCACATGGACCAATCGCCTGGGCACGGCGCCTCACTTGCTCCACCGCAACACTGAGCCGTCGTTCCTCGTGGAAGCGTCCGCGTGCTACCCGACATGCGGCGTGCCGATGTCTGTGCACATTCATGGGCTGGAGAACCCGCCAAAGTATGACGGCTTGCCCACCCACACGTTTTACCACAACACAACCTTCAAGGCCGAGTACGCGAACCGCCAGTTTCCGTCCACAAAAGTCTACCACGATCACGCGTGGGGCCTGTCGCCTTTAAATATGTGGGCGGGTATGGTCGGTTTGTACGCCGTGCAAGACGCGGAATTGGAATCGAAATTCCATCTAACCACGCTCCCAGACATGACGTTCATCCTCCAAGACAAGCTCATCAGTGCCGACGGCGCGTTGCTGTACACTGAAAAACTCACGTGCCACCCCGTCGCGCCTACAAAATGGGTCCCCGAAGCATATGGCAGTGTCAACACAGTGAATGGCGTCGTGATGCCTCTCGCGACAATCAAAGCCAGCCGCGTCCGCTTTCGATGGGCCAACGTCGCCAATGCACGGACGTACACGCTGACATTGCCGTTTGCCCATCTGTGCAAAGTGATTGTCACCGACAGCGGGTTCGTCCAGCGGCCGAGCGCCGTGCCAGCGACGGACTGGACGTTGAATCCGCTCGAGCGCGTCGAGATGGTGTGCGATTTTACCTCTGTCCCCCCCGGCACGACGTTTGATATTGTCGACAAGCCATTTCAAGAAAGCGCGTACGTGTACGACGGGAGAATCATGCGGGTGCAAATTGAGCAAGCGGCTCCAGAAGAGCAACACCAAGTCAGCCACGTTCCAGACACGCTCGTGGCGTGGAAATCCTTGCGGCAGCTGCATATCGACACGTTGGGGATGACCAGACAGGTCACATTGGGCGAGCTCATGGATGGCCATGGCTGCTCGACGCACTTGTATTTAAAAGAGCACGGTATGGTAAAAGACACGACCACGATCAAAAGCACTTTGCACTGCACACTCGGCAAAGTGGAAAAATGGGAGTTTATCAACCCGACCGCAGACCCCCATCCGTTCCACTGGCACCTAGTGAACGCCCAGTGCGGCGAAACCGAAGCCACGATCAACACGAACGAGCTCAAGGACGTGGTGGCCATCCCAGCGCGCTCGGACGGCGGCGTCGCGCTCGTGTGCTACGTGGCGTGCACGCCGGACGAGTTCCTGGCTGTCCATAGCACCCGACCCGCGCACTCGTTTGGGTTCGACGTCCTTGAGGATCCATACTTGGCACATTGCCACATCATGGAGCATGGCGAGAATCAGATGATGGCGTGGTTTCAACTCACGGCCAATGATGTGGACAACTGATATTGACCACGGTGCTATAAGTAGTATGTGTATATATCAATCGTCGTCGACCATGCTACAGTACTACTTGCTGTAGTATTGATGATAAAACACTCTTGAAGTACTTGGATGATCTACTATCTGGTACTAAGTATACGGGTGCTGCACATCTTATTCACGTTAGTCCGTAGTAGTGTACTGTAGTGTATAGTACTACCGGTAGTGTGCACTGCAGCTATGTACGATGTACCGTGCAACTGTCGCTAACTATCGCGACAATTCTATTCACAACGCTACCATGAATATGGGCACAAGTTACTACTACACCATTTTGCGTTTAATTTCAGCTTTTTTTCAAAATATTTCCACTAACCTCCGATATATTTCACCGAATCGCCTATATAATTCACCCAACCTCCATTATATTTCACGCCGTATTGAAATTTGGCCATTATATTTCACCCAACCTCCGATATAATTCACCCAACCAACGCTTAATTTCACCTTTCGAAAATATATTTCACCTGACCACCGGTATATTTCATGGAAAGTAAAATAAAACCAACCCACGCAACATATCTACGGCTCAAGCACTAACTTCCATGTCTTTCATGTTCTCAGCACGGACATAAAACGGTTCAAGACGGGCCGTGTACACATGCAAACGATTCAGCTCAATTCCTAATTCATTGTTGAGTGAAATCTTTTAAGTCTGCCCGTCTTGCGGTGGCCCCATAAAGGCCGCGACTCGTTCGCGCAAAGAAGTCTTAATGCGACCCTTCAACGCCGCGGCCACATATTCTCGATCGGGTTCAACATCGGGGAGTACGGCCCTAGTTTTAAGAACGAAGCGTCTTGACACGTCATGTTAGCGGTCAACAGAGAGATGTACCGGAGTTTGTGGTGCAGGGATGGCCACTTCCATTGAGCGCAGATTCACAAATAGTCTTTCTAGAATCCCAGCTCGAATTATAACAACTGTTAGGTGAATTATATTTTCGAAAGTTGGAATTAACCGTAGGTACTGTAGGGCAAATTAAAACAGAGGTTGGGCGAAATATATCGCCGATATTTTACATCGGCGTGAAATATAGTGGAGGTTGGGTGAATATATTGGGGATTCGGTGAAATATATCGGAGGTTGGTGGAAATATATTGAAAATAAGCTGGAATTAAACGCAAATGGTGTAGTATTAATAGTACTGTACGGAGTACTATTAATAGTACGAGCGTTCGTACGGATTGACTAACTTATTGCTAATCACAACACCTTGAAACCCGCGCAAGCTCTGTGATTGGTTGCTACTCAAATTTGAACTCCAATGTACCTTTGCACAAATACCAGACCCAAGGCGTCAGCGGTGGTACACCAACGCGCAGCGCAAGCTCTAATGAATCTACTTGCCATCAATGACAACCAGTTTTGCCTCCGGCACGGCAGCATTCCACCAACGACTTGAAAGCGGCATGGACGATGCCCCCTGTATGGACGGCCAGAGGGAGGGAAATTAGTATCTATATTATTTCAGTAGAAGAAATGATATCTATATTCCGAGTACTTATTTGAGACATGCAAGGAGGATAAATTAATTTATTCTTACTTGGCACATTACAGAAAAATAATTCTTTCAGCCAGTCGGAATGAATTATTTATTATTGGAGAATAATTCAACAATACTCAACACTAACCACTGAATATCAGTAGAAGTACAATATTTCTAGAGGCACATCGCAAAACTTATTTCTGTGCTTGGCGCCCAGCGACCATAAATTTTATAGTGGCTGGAAAACATAATAACTTATTCTCTCTGACCAGGGCTTTTCAAAATAAATTATTCTATTTATTTAAATAGAATAACTCTTGTCAGAGAATATATAGTTTTCCGTATCTCTGTGGGCGGCCAAGGCAAGAAGCTCCTTCAGGACAAGAAGGCACTTGGAGGCACAAGTTCTGCGTCGTCTGCGATACTACTGTAGTAATCTTAACGAATACAGCAACTGAAAGTGAATAATAATTAAGACATCGAGAGGAGGCCACTGTATGTGAAACGTTAACCTTTCAATCGCAGCTTCATACATACAGTATATGGGCGTTTCACGAATAGAATCATCGCCGTTCAACCCGCCACGGCCAGGAAGCTCCCAAATACATGGTACAACTCTCCAGACAAGTCACACATTTCCAAGGCCATGGACGACCGAGACGACCTCGGCGACTTTGCCCATCTACACATCATGCAAGGCAACCAAGTGGCTCCCGCGAAATCTCTCCGAACCAACAACGGACGCGTTCATCAGTGTTGTGACGAAGTCGATGATGGCATCGTAGCCGCAGACGCGTGTGTAAAGCGCCAATATCGGCAATCGCTGGTGGGTTTCGTCCCAATGAACGGTTCTTTGTCAAGGCATATGTGAATCCCCACGCCAGCGACGCAGCGCCTCTTGATGACAACAACGATAGGACCACGTTGGAAGTGGCGGAAACAGGGGGCCGCGTGGCGTACCTTGTGCTGACGCTCGGGCTGAGCTTGTACTACCTCCACCTACTGACGCCCGTGATGGCCAACGACCTGTGGTGGGCGGGGTTTAATGTCTCTGGCGCGCAAACGTATCTCATTGACGTCGTCAACGCCCAGCTCAACCTGGCTGACACCGTTTGGAATGTCGACGTGACAGCCACGGGAAAGACTGGCGACTACTCAACGTATTTTACACCCGTGCACATTTCCCCTGTGTACGGCTGCGCCGTGGTGGCGTCCCAGATCACGAATCTGTCGGCGATCATCGCCATCCTCTCCACGACTTCCACGCCCGAAGACATCCCGACGCAGTATGGCTAGGTCGGGATGCCTCCGGTGTGGAGGACATGGGAGGTCGCGCACACCAACAAGCGCCAAAAACGGTGTGGGGAAAGATACCCTGACAAAGGGGCATGCATTGGCAACGGGGCCACGCAGTGTCGGCTCACCTCCTGGAACAGCTGGATGGGTTCGTACGGGAGCCTGTTTGCCAGTTGTATGGTAGCGCAATGGTAGAGGGCGGGGGCGGCGTGGTTGAATCAAACGGCGAATGCGTTTCAAAGCGTCGAGTTGGACGAGGCGCATTGGCGACAACAGGGCGTGTGACACTGTGCTCCGCGCCACGACTGAAGCGTTGCACCTGTTTCAGCAACTATCACCCAATAGCTGGAGCCACTACCTTGAACGCACAGTTTCAACAGGCGCAACGCTACGTCATGGCTTTGAACGTCATGACGATGCAGTGCGCCATCAACCAATCCGACAATATCCTGCTGAAGAACCACCCCCTATAGGGCCGTCCAGTTTGTTTGGGGGAGAATACGCTCTTTTTTGGGTGGATATACCTCTTTGAGTGGGCGGAGCTGTCTCGGGAAGTGATTTCCGTCGAAGGCGATTACGATACCCTACGAGCGCAGGCGTTGGAAACCCCCGAAGCCCGTCGCAGTCCCGAGCACGAGTCTAAGCTGGCTCATCACGTTGGGTTTGGACGTACACCACCCACGCCGTCACAAATTTGATGCGAGAGTGTTCAGTGAATATAATCACCCAACAATTGGTGTGCACAAGCGGCCATATTCAAGTGGAAGACCTCCACAAAGCGTTCTCGCTGGCCATCGTTCAAGTTGCCAGTGCCGTGGGCTCGTTCGCGGTCCTTTCGTTGTGGCAGACGTTTGTCCGCCGCGTCGAGTTGCGTGCGGTCAACGACCACCTACTTCTGTCCGGCATGGCCACTGCGTTCTACAGAAGGACATTGCCGAGCATGGATCGTGGCAGATCGTTCACACGAGCTGTGTCATGTGCGGGCTCTTGTGGTTGTTCAAGACTACATTTTCGAACTCAAGCTGTGGCTGCCGGTGCACCAGTCGAATCTCCATAGAGTCAAGTGGGGCATGAAGGTGTTGGAGCCTTGAGACATGGCCGCCACGATCATGCCGTCGACGATGAAATGGATGAAATCCCATGTCAGATCCAAGCTCACGGCCGGCAGCAGCAGCAGTGCCAAGGCAGTCGTACCGCACATCAACCGGCTGTACGCTGTCGCAGGACTCGGCTACATGTGCGCGACCATCTTTGGCAGTGTCATGCACTTGTCGTTGACCCAAGCATTGCCAACGACTCCTTCTGGGCTAACTACAACATCTCTAGGTAACATGTATTTGTGGCCTGGCTGTTCAATCGGGGACTGCTGCTGGAACCACACCGAGGGACGTTCGACCTCACCGAAGACAAAGCTGGGAAGGACTTTGTCAAACAAGGTGTGGTGGAGCAGCAACATCACAGGGTGGGTTGCCATTGCCGACAGTGACATACAGCATCAATTCCACGGCAGCAGCGCGGACGTCCCCTTTGACCGTGGCGGCCGTCGGATCAACAGACCCGGATCGGCAAAGAATGTGATGCTCCGGAGGAGGTTCCGGGGACCAGCCAGCAAATCAGCAACGCACGAGTCTAGGTCTAGCCCAGGGGCGTTGCGGCAAATGGTGATGAGGTAGCCCTGATTCACACTATTTCGGGTCAAGTTGGTCGCGAGCACGGCCAAGACACTGGCCACGGCACTGGGTCGAATGAACTCGCCGAGGGAATCCAAGCAGGGGGTCATCGCCCCCGACAGAATACACATGTCGAAACGCATATCCCCCCAGGCAGTTCCTCACAAAAGACATTTCCCCCAACAGAGTTCAACTCGTCCCACTGGTCGTACCAAATTCTGGGCACGTACCCAATGTCGTTGTAAAACGCAATGGCCTGTAATTGGTGGCCAAACTCGGCCGATTGCACTTGCAACCGTAGACAAATGCAAGTAACGAGGATGGGGCTGGCACGACTTTGACATCGACTGACCCGAACGGGCCAATGAGATCCCGAAACATCCAAAACTGCCCATCGATAGGGCCCTCTGAGGAATCGTGCCATTATGAACCAGCACCAGTTCGATTAAACGTTTGCAAACGTGTAGTCGACGCTTTGTCGGAGCAAACTCTGGCCGTATATGAGACGCGCCGTGTCCGTGACAGCCCAAAAGGTCGCTCGCAACCCCCCCATACATTTTCATGCCCGTTGGAGACGCCAATCGAAATGTCCCGTTCATGTGCTTGAGCGTCAAATGTATCGATCAATCCGACGGTTTTGTAGTTTTGCCAGTCCGTGGTATACGCCGTGAGACTGCCACGTCGTCACTTCGTCTTCATCGGACATGGCCACCTCTTGCACCGCGATTCACCACGCCGCTCCGTTTTTTGTCGTCTGAAGGGTCGACTGCACCGCGATGTCCAAAGTCGACTTCCAGCACGATGCAAGTTAAGGCCACCGCTCGTTGCACATCACAGACTCCAAGTACTGTACAGGTTACTGAACACGGCGCCATTGGCAGTGTACTGGTGTGCACTCCGCGCTTGGCGAGTGGCAGTGTTGGCCATATACCATATACGTATATCTCATTGTCGTTGAAAGTCCAGGTAGCAGTACTGTGTGGAAATCCTCTCAGCTAGATAAGTGTCCATGGAACGCAAGCCCCTTAAAGGACTTTGCGTGGCTACTCGTGCACGATTGGGCACTAGAATTTCACGAAGTGATTGCAATGGAAGGGGATGTGGGGAATATTACCGTCCTCCCTACTCGCTCCGACGACAGCGGCAACCTAATCAACCCGCTCGAGATCCCTGTCAACGTAGCGTCGTAAATTCGGTACGGATGTCTGTACATTACGTGGGTGGTCATTAGTGTGGCGGGTCTGGCTACGATGTACCTCTTGGCGTACCGGGGATACGTCGAAGGGCTCAACTTGTTTGAAATCAATCGAGTGGCGGGTATTGTCTGGATCAGGCAAATTCTGCTGATGCGGAGCTTGTCCGCCATCGGTATGTTGAGCACTGAGGTGCTGACCCTGGACGGAGGTAGCGGTCTCTGGGGGTTTCGGCGGCAGACCCACATGGCTGTTTCCGGACAGGCCATCTGCATGTTCAAAACGTTCCTCGCGGCGGGTGAAGTGTCGTGGCTCGGGTTTGTCCTGAACGACTTTCTCATGGTCGTGACCCAGCAGTACACGACTGCATACTGTACAAGTGCAATTTCATGATCTGGGGCACGTCGGCCGTGCTGTCGCTGGTGTTTCCCCCCGTCACACGGATGCACCATTCATCGGCAATGTCACAGTCCCCAAGTGGATTTCCAACTCGTGTGCAAAAATGTTGTGTATTTACAGTATTTTTGATGGGGCCCCAAAGATGCTAAGCTTAGCATGCGGTGGCTTATGATAGGAAACATTGCGATTGGCAGTTTTGGGCGGATTGTGTGTCGGGTCGACTGTGTGTGCTACTTTGTACGAGCGACTTCGGCGGCCAAAGTTGAAGCCCAGCCAGCCAGACTCGTTCTTTCTCGCTGCGTCCACCAAATATGTGTACGATCCTGTCCAATGGATGGACAATCAGGTCCGTTGTGGTGTACTCGCCATAAGAAATCAAGTTGACGTTTACGGTAACGTTAAGCTTACATTGCAAATGTACTTTACCGATCCGGCGTCGGCCGTGATCAACCGCATCTTGTCGGTGCGGGCAGCAATACGTTTTATATTTTTGATTTGAAGATCTGGCGAATGTGTTATCGAAGAGTCCCCGGAAATGCGGCGACGCAAGGAAGCCGACGGTGCGCTGCATCTGCTGTCGGTCATTCCGCTCCAAGCATTAGACGCACGGCATTAGATAGTATTACGTGATCCCCAACAATGGTCATCAATTTCATGTTAACTAGTTCTAGTACTAACGTTAACCAGGAATTCCCTGAAAGCAACAGTTCCACTATTGCTTACGTCATCATTTCACTTGTGACATAGCTAAATGCAGTGTAAACCAATACAACACATTCCAGCTAGGGGTTAAGTGCATTTCAGTAGTTAGCGATAGCTAACCACTGGTGAAAAAACTTAACCCCGGGAATAGCAACACAAGGGGTCTGGGGGGTCCGGGGGCTCTGACGTTCCTGGGCTACTGGTTCGTGTGATTACGTAAGCAACAGTGGCACTGAGGGAATTATAGAACGTTAGTATACGTAACTCCGTAGTACTACTACCTAGTAAGTTATTAATAGTAGTTCCCAGTAGTAAAAATGGAGGGCTTATTAGTGGCCGCACGCAATTGAACATGTACTGTAAACGTAGCGTACACCGCATGATTGTAACTTCGATCATGTCGTGTGTGCGTGCGTGACGTGACTCGCATTCGGACGAGACATTTTCTATCAGGAACAAGTCCTTTTCTATGCAAGGCGAATGTAAGCTGTACGGTATAACCTGTGGGCAAACGTACTGGCTGGCTTGCAATCGAAGTGAGCGAGTTCTGTGGCACGATTAATTAAGCCCCCATTACGTAGTACAAGTACTACATAGAATACGTATATCTCATGACATCGTCGTTTGCTCAACCAGGGATAAATAACGGTAGAGGAGATGCTCTCGGTAACGTTTAGAGCAGATGCTCTCGTTATAATAAATACTATACGCAGAACTATTTATATTAATAGTAGTATCGTTAATAACGTTAACTAACGTTACAGGTCCTCAGTACTACTAGTAGTAGTACTAGTACTAATAACTGTTATTGTGGTCCTATCCACTTCCTTGGGAACTGAACAGTGCATCATTTCACAGTCAATCAAAAACGGACGTCAGTCAGTCATGCCTTGGACTTTAGGGAGTTCAACTGTTAGGACGAGCAGTAGTAGTACTGTACATCAATCTCGCAGCCTCATTACTTGCCTCAACTCGCCGTCGGATATGATTCATGCGTTACTTCACGTTCATATTGCAGACCACACACTTGAGACTTATCGACATCGTTGATGAGGTCATGTGCATACTGTACTGTAGTGTACCTTGTGTGGCAGCTCGAATCGCCTTGCCCGGTCAAACCGATGATGCCATCTCTCAGCACACAACAACAGCACCACATGGCCGACAATGTAACTTGTTTCTGGTCGTGGGGTTGTTGGTGTCGTCAACTTTGCCGAATAAAACGCGTTTTCACGTTTTATCGACACCTAAATTGCAAAGTCTTTCAACGATACCGGTAGTTACTAGCGGCAAAGGTTAAGAATTCTCTATAACTTGGCCGATTCACATGCCAACGACGACGACGGATGGGGGGCTACATACAATGTCTGTCTGTTTGCAACGAACTATGCACTCCATCTTGGGGGGGAGCACACTCTGCTGACTCTCCAAAGTGCGTCGATCTCGAACAAGAGCAGCTGGTTTTTGGTGTGTAATCGCGCCACCATGTGGTCGTGGCTGTCGGCTGTGCAACCCCCCTCGTTACTGTACCTACGACACAGTAGGCCGCCGCACACATTTGTGCCTGTGTGCATTTTGCATTTTGCTTTCGTCGACGTGTTCAAACAAATCTGTGGAAAGTATGACAGCGTGGCTCGATCCAGGGTTTCTGCAAACCGTGTCGACATCGGTTGGCGTGCTCAACGATCCGTGGGATATGTTCCACAGCGAGCCATCCTCGTCTGTCTTGGACAAGGACTGCTTCTCCATCGACTTGGACTTGAGCGAAGCGTTGCTGTACGACCCGATTCCGTACCACATGACCAACAATGCTAGCTTTACGCCACCAGCCTTCAACCACCGAACGGGCATCGCCTTCCACGCAGCGATGGTACCGTCCCCTGTCCCCAAAATCGAACCCGTCGAAGCCACGTCCGCCGCCGCCGCCCACCACCACCACCACCAGCAGCAGCACCACCAACCATTGGAAATCACCGGCCAGTGTCTCAAACACCAGTGCCACAACTCGATCGGGTACAGGGGTTTCTGCAAAGATCACGGCGGCGCTCGAAAGTGCCGCATCGTGGGCTGCCCCAAGGGTAGCCAAGGACGAAACCTGTGCATCGCCCACGGCGGCGGCAAGCGCTGCAAGGTCGAGAACTGCCCCAAGTCGGCCCAGTCCCACGGCCTCTGCAAAGGCCACGGCGGCGGCGCCCGCTGCACGTTTGCCAACTGCAACAAGAGCTCCCAAGGCGGGGGGTTCTGTCGAAAGCACGGCGGTGGCAAGCGCTGCGACGTGCCCAAATGTAAGAATAGCGCGCAGCGGGGCAACTTTTGCGCCAAGCATGGAGGGTCCAAGGCGTGCCAGGCGGACAACTGCGCACGGACAGATCGGGGCGGCGGGTACTGCGAACTGCATCGCCACTACAAAGTGCTGCGGTTGACCAAGAAGCTGCAAGACGAAATGGCCGCGATGTAGATGTGTAACAACTAATCAAACTCTTAACTTATCATGTAAATCATACTAACAGCGACCAACACGCTACCGAGTGGACGATCGATCGATCTGCTATGGGGGGATGATGGAGTGGAAACGTGACTCATGTGCAATCAATCATGGAATACTAACGTTATCTTAGTATTTGCCTTCGACAAGTTGTGTCGAACATGAGTAGTTAACCAGGGGACTTCTACCGCGAAAGAGTTGACCTGGCGGCGCAACGACCATGTCAAGGTGTGAGTTGGAAGTGGTTCAATGTTAAACCACGTTAAACTCGTGCAAGGTGCGTTCTCCTCTCTGCGACAAATGGGTTAAAGTCTGAAATGTCCAAGGACGCCATCCACTTGGAGGTCGGTCGCAAGCACAGCGCAAAAGGATGAAGGAAGCACTGGGTGGGGGGTAACATTGCAGGCAAGGCGGCAGTGTGTGTAGTGGCCGCAAATATACCGTCGGTGTGTCCTTGTCACGCTAAACCTCACCCACCATATGCCCATATACAGTAACCCGTCGATTCCACGAGGCTCCAATCGTTGAGCAGCCCAATTACATCAAAAGCATAAACCCATTCTTCGCATAACTATGCACACGTACACGACGCGCGCAAACTGGGCGTTAGTTGTACTAGTATTAGTTAGTACTCTACAGTGTCCAGTCAATCGTGTGTGGGGCGTTGCCTTGCACTATTACTAGTCCTCCGAGTATGTATTACGAGTGCTACGTACGTAGTACTAGTAGTACATTAGTGTCCCTTGGTCCCATGTATGTTCCACTGTGTCCCAGCTTGTGGACAGCAAGGCTTGATTCATACTGTACCTACAATGTACCCGAAGTACTACTGTAGTACTGTACTGTACCCAAAAGTTCATAACACAGGAGATTGCCGGTACATATTGTATCTGTAGGATGCGTTGTTGAAGTATAAATGTACCTTCCTCGCACCTCTTGCATTGCCCTTGACGAATCTGTACCATATCACGTGCAGCACACGGGCGCGTTGAATGTGCTTGCGCAGTGTCTAGGCTGCAAGAATCAACTTGCATATGTACTCCTAGTAGCACATGACGTCAACCTTCATCGTATGGTCCATTGGTGAATTATTCCCTCGTTAAAACAGTTTCACTAATGTTTTGACCCGAAATACTGTTTATGAGGTTTATATGGAACTTTGTATGACCACCAGACCACCTCACCTCCTAGTAGGGGTTAAGTGCATCGCTAGTGGTTAGCTATCACTAACCACTGAGATGCAAGTAGGGGTTAAGTGCATCGCTAGTGGTTAGCTATCACTAACCACTGAGATGCACTTAACCCCTACTAGGAGGTGAGGTGGTCTGGTGGTGGTCATACAAAGTTCCATATAAACCTCATTGAAACAGTATTTCGGGTCAAAACATTAGTGAAACTGTTTTAATGAGGGGATTGTACTCGATTGGCACGAGACTAATAAGGTAATAAAACTCAATTAATCGATTGGCACGAGATTTCGTAACGTTAATTTGGCTGATTCCACCTCATCCTTACTTTTTCCAAGTCCTTGTCACCCAACATACCTGTAATACTACTGCGTTACTACTACTACTACTAGTATACTCGACATCGTTTACGGCAGAAACTTGTAGCTGCGCTGTGAGCATGTATGCACCTTGTTGCTGGTGTTTGAGGGGATCGAAGCGCAGTGGCGTTGCAATAACACTGCTGTTGTTGCCTGCGCTGCGACAGTAGTACATGTACCGCTACAGATACAAGGGAGCGGCTCCTATATCTCCCATTCCAGGTTAAATCGACATTGGGTTTTTATTCCTTTAACGTCGGACTTAATTGGGATCACTGCACATTGAAGCCACCGCGACCTTTCAGGAAGCCGATGTCGGACAATGAGTGGCTCGACGACAGTCCCGACACGGTCGCGCCGTCCCAGCGGCCACCGCCGACGACGAGGAGGCGCCGCCGCCGTCACCTCTACTACATTGCTCGAAGCACCACCTCCAAGAAGCCACTGCCGCCGCCAGCCTCATCGCGTGGGCCATGGCCACAGTCGTCGAGGCACAGAGTAGAGTTCGTACGTCCAGTGAAGCCGAGTGCCAAAGAAGGGTGGCGGCGGTTCTTCTCGTCCGATTTGATCGACCTCGCCCTGGTGTTTGTCATCTGGACAGTCGTTGGGGGCCTCATCTACGTCCTCCACGTCGACGTGCCCCGGGCGTACCACGATGTACGAATATATCAATATTCTGAGACAATGAAAACTCGAGTCGTAGGCCATGTGGGTATGCATTGCCCTGTTTTCGGCTCCCATGGGGCTATTCACTGGTCTGCACGTGTACGAGTTGTACGTATTGCGCCAAGCGAGTCGAAAGGGCAGGGGCAAGGTGCTTATACAATAATAAAGCAACATTCTACTTGCGACGGTAGGATTTGTATACTATATATACGCAGAGTTATGGCCATTCTGGGCTCTTGAGCCCCGACAGCACCTCGGCCGGCCGCGGGTCGACCAACTTGAGCCGTTTGTTGCTGTTAAAGCCATTGGGGCACTGTCGTTGCTTGTGTTGGACGAGCAGCGTATTCCACAGCTTGAGTGTCGTGCATAGAGCATACGTTTGCTTGATCGTGTCGGCGTTCTAAATATATAAGCACGAGGCATGGTAGGCAGGGATGTATTCAAAAGATAAACATAAATAAAAAAGTATTAAAAATAGAATTAAAAACAACAACTTTGAACCTCAGCAATAAATGGATACTAGTATATATATTGTGGTATATTCGATATGAATTTCCAGACCCCATCGAAACGAATCACGATGAATCGACGCTATTGGCTGATCCTATTTCTAGTGGACATATTTGATTGGCTCTTAGGACAAATATATTCAACCAATCACAAGTCCGGCGTGATTCAGACAAACCACGCGAATTTCGCGAATTCACAATACCATGATAACATTATATCGATCGCCAATCGCAATCCAACAAATATAATACAATTCACAAGCAATAAAACTAACTCAACGATGACAACCCCAAAACCACATCCAATATACATACATACCTACCAGCCACCACACAAAAATCGTTCCTCTCCTTCAACCAACCAATCGAATCCAAATACACTATGGGTTTGAAATCTACAATACAATCTATACATATAGCAAGTAGTACCTCCGACTTGATCGCGTCCGTCCACAGTGTCGCAGGGGGTTCTTGGAGTAGCCACATGTCACAGGCAAAGATATTGTCTGGCATGAGCTTGGGGTCGGCAATCCACGTTGCTACGTGGAAGCGGCGGAGCTGTCGGAGGAAGGGCGCAGCATTGGGGGGGGTCACCAGCTCATGGCTGCACGGGTTAGCCAATACGTACTCGACCGTGAACGAATTCACTTCTTTCTTGGCCAACGCAAAGTGCCAGTCTTCGCTCGTCTACAATATGTATATATATATATATGTATATATATATATATATATCTTTCAAACGTACAGCTTGGGTCAAGGCCAAATTGTCGAGGCGGACAGCGGGGAGGTTGTGTTTGGCAGCGGCGGTGGAAAAGCCAATCAGATCCGCCACAAAGCGACTGGGTGGGGTATACGTGTCGTGGTATTTCGCTGCAAAGGTCGCGGCGTCGTCGATGATGGTTTTCAGGTCGGATGTGGCCACCACATATGGCAGCCCCACGTTGTACTGCTCAGAATTGGCCAGTGGCTACCATATATATATATATATATATTTGCCGGATTAACACAGCATACATGTTGAATTTATATAAACGGAAGAAGGACCAACCACAACAATCGACACCATAAGGGCAGGGAAATGGCCATCCTCGGATAAACTAGTAATACTTCCAAGTACTAACGACTAGACAGAGCGACATTGTACATATATACTCGTAACAGTACAAACACACTTGTAACATATACAAGATCATAACGAACTCCAAACAGGGATACAATATCGAACATGAAACAGAATAATATACCGTATACTTTACCGTAAACTGTCAGTAAAAAAGTTTTAAAACATCGAATCGATATGGATACAACAACGGTCAAGAACGCGAAGTCGAAATTCACTTTTTTTCGAATGGGTTCAGGATTGGCCATTTTAACTCTTTTGTTTGATTGGCTAGAACGAAACATAATTGACGTATATTGACCAATAAACATCGATCCAGGTAATTCCTCTGAAGGACACCATACACCAATTGGGGTCGGTTCAAATTGAGATTTCCCAGTTGAATATCGAATGAGACAAATAGGTTTGAGAATGCTCTAGCCAATCAAATTCCACGTTTGCGATCTTGGAACCAATCAACGATCATCCTAGTTTGGCCCAGTGCTTTCATACATATCTTGAAATCCATTGACAGGTACTCTGTACAAAATCCTCAACGCAGCGAAATCGATCAAACGAGTTCGAACATGAGGCAAAACCAATCCACAAGGTATACTATACATACTGCAGTAGCTCAATCATCTCTCAATACCATCAAATATCAACATATATCACATTGACCAGTTAGGTGTATCGTACCTTTGGACAGGTGGCACACAGCGCCGCAATGCGATCCGCCGACGTGAGATCGTTCAGGTACGCGTTAAAGTTCTGGGCAATTACAACGCCAGCTTTGGCCTCGATGACTTTGGGTGCAGTGAGGGGGTTGCCCGAGTAGAAGAACACTTTTTTCGGCTGGAGGCTTCCGTGCACAACTTCCATCGCATCCGGATCAGGGTCTTCGTCTGGTTTTCTACGAGAGAGATATTAATATATATATATATATATTGTAAACGTACGGGTAGGCCGAGAGCACGGGCGTGGCGGTGGAGACGGCAAACCGCGAGAGGAAGACAAAGTCTAGGGCGAGTACGACCAACTGACGAGCCAAATGCGGCGCGTTCGAGTGCTGCAGCCAGTGGCGCAATGCTTCCGTTTGGAATGCGATCGAGTCCGGAGTAAAATGGAGTTTGGTCGTTGGTGTTGTGCGACGATACACCTACCACACAACATTTCAAAACTATATATATATATATGAAACAGATACTCAAGTATTATCACCCCTTGGCTACATATGGCCCAATTATAATTTTTGCGCGATTCGAAAAAAAACGATTCCAAATCTAGATGTCATTGGCTTTTTTCAATCCGCTGATAGAACGAAAAAAGAATGGAGCCAATCAGCGACAAGTATTTTCATATTGACCAATCGGAGCGATTCATGACAATTGGTTGGATCGGCGTGATGACGTTGAACGGCGTCCGCATGTATATTCGTACCCAATCAATGATATATATATATATATACATTATTGATCTGAACGAATATATATGTTTATATATATATATATATATTGTATATTCGAATATATATATATATTGTATACTCGAATATATATATATATTGTATATTCGAATATATATATATATTGTATATTCGAATATATATATCTATATATATATTGTATATTCGAATATATATATATATATATATATATATTCGTTCAGATAGGGGTCACGCAAGTCATATTGTTGAGTTTATTCTAAACTGGAGTGAGATCGAGAATGAATCGGCACAACTATTATGTAAATACAAAAGAATCATCATCGACAGAAGGTGTTAGCCAATCAGATTGCAGGAAACCATTATCAACTTCAAATTAGTGTGTGAATTCAATTAGTGTGATACCAATCACCACAGGACAACTTTTTACATACAAAAGTCAGTACAAAGAATAATCGATCGATCGATTTGGCGATTGAGAACAAAAGTCCAAATTTTGGGTAAAACGACAATATATAATAGATAGATGCAACTCAAGCACATGAAAAAAATACACCGGGGATGCGAAATACAGCGATGTACGAAATCTTGAAATCAAGTAAACATGCACATCTCTCCTTGCAAAACATAGTCAACATCTTACAAAGTGGTCCATATATATACATAATGTATATATATATACACATAATATATATATATACATAATATATATACATAATATATATATATATAACGCACCTGGTTTAGGAGGGCGGGGGTGCTGCATCCCGTGATGATACGCGTGATGGATCCTCGCTGGTGCACACGTTCAAATGACTCGACCAGCATGTCGGCCTGCCATTGGTCGGCATTCGAGCACGAACTTACAAACACAAACTCCAACCCATCCTACATATATATCATCAAAACAGCAATTCCTCATATATATATATATCTACCTCGTCCTCGTTCTTCTTGATGGGAGGGTCTCCAAACACTGGCAAAGTGGACGGCACGGCCGCCGCCGCCACCCCTTCGGTCAGCAGCAGCCGCTGATTCTGGTTGAATCCGTCGACGCAGTGGCGCTGTTTGATGGCAATAGCCGCCCGATTGTACGCTTGGAACGTGAGTGAAATGGACACGATGTGGCGGGTGCGGAGGATCGTGGACACATGTTCCCATCCGTAAGTGTGTGATGCATAGTGCCTATAGATAACCATGTACATCTCCATATGAACACTGGTGACAATGATATTGGGTTTAGTATAATACCATAGACTTGACGGAGGCAACTGCAGCAGAACGGCGTCACAGGCAAAGAAATCGAGCGGCACCCATCGGTCCCGCATCACATATGGCGCGCCGTCCACCCATTTCAACAGTTGCAACAACGACGTGCGCATTGTGAACGGGTACTCTGCATACAACTAGACAATATAATCAAACCAAGACTATTTGTGAGCCGCCCTCCAAACCTTATTAAAATGTATATATATATGCTATTTTGTAGATTGTACAACGTGCCAGGTCATGAATATATATATATAAATCACAGCTCGAATCTAAACTTGACCATACCAGATACATTCATCGCATGCATGACAGACACATCATATATATCGTTTCCCACTATGACATTCGCCACCATGACACGAACAAACTCTAAAAAGGGTGAAAAAAACACGAAAAAAATGCCAAATTACAACTGGAATTGTTCATGTATACCGGGTCGTCTGTCGCCATGGTGTCGGTGACCGGGTTGTACTTGATCATGTCGACAAAGTTCCAGTTTTCAGCAAACGAATTGTATCGACTGAGGCGGAAGCCGCCGGCCACGCCATGCTCCAGCCCCAGCTCGGCGCATGCCAGCGGGTACGCCAGGTGCTGATACTTTTGCTCGAGCTTGTCGTAGATGCCCTTGGTGGCGCCGAAGACCGCGTCCAAATGCCGCGCGTGCATGATGAACGGCGCGTGGACGGCATTTCCCCGCCAGTACTTGGTCTGGTATGACTTGGAAGTCTTGCCCATGGTGGCTTCGAGGATCTCCTCGGGCATGATGTACGCTGGGTAGTCGCTGTCAAACCATGCCGCGTCCTACAAACACAACCATACATGATGGGATCGGGACAGACGTCGACGACCGCCTTCGAGACCTGCGCGAGGAGCGTCGGATTGGACATCGTGTCGGCAATATGGAGCATTGCGGCAAGGTCCAGTGGGCGCGTGAAGATGGTGTCGACCTCGACGATCATAACAAATTCGTCCGCGGGAATGGCGCGCGTTCCGACCGACGTGATCCTACACAACAGAAAAATCACGACGCGTTTAGGTTTATCGTATTCCGAGAGATGGGATGATGTGTACCATGCATGAAGCGCATGGGGATTCAATTCCGTGGCGTCGGGCGGCGACCCCTGGACGGCCAACGCATGGAAGAACGTGAAATTGAAGTGCGGCGACACCGCTTTTTCCAGCGTTTGGAACGCCATTTTGTCGCAGTTGTACGCAATGTAAGTCAAGTCCCCGGTGAAGTGTTGCTCTCGAGCGGTGAATGCCAGCACTTGCGCTCGGATGCGGTCGCGCTCAGAACATGTGGCCGTGAACGCCACGTGCTTCACGAATCGATTCGCGGAAGCCGACGACGCATGGTGCCCTTCGGATCGGACATGCGACGCCAGCCCCGAGGTCGATATGACGTTGTTGCGCATGTAGAAGCTGACGTTGACAAACGCAGCGAACGCAAAGAGCACCACGACGCCTCCGATGAGGTACCATCTCTGCAGTGCCGCCTTGGACAGCGGTTTCCGCGGCGACGACGACATGTCGAAATGCAAAATGGAAGTGTGGTGGAGTATCCAAGCGTTTTATTGGTCGAATAGTATTTTTAAACAGCCAATCAATCACCTTAATGTGTTTGGATTGGCTGCTTGGACAGAGAAATGGACCAATGAAATTGTCATTGCATCCACTTCTTGCCTCACAAAGAACCTCCTGCATGGAAACGTGCAACACCAGATGGCCTCCATGACACCGGACGATTGTAATATCGTAAAGGGGCAATTGATACGTGTTAACGTGTGGACCGGGTGGACTCTGCCTAAGCCGTGAAACCACATTCTGCTGTTGTTGCAGTGCCCGTCGTCCGGATGCTATCCGGATGGCTTCTCGACGAACGCACGACAGTTTGAGCTGCGCCTCGAAGATAGATACTTTTTTGTCGTTCGCCGGCCTGAGCAACCCCCTTCCTGACTAACCAACAATAGTTGGTTGCGCGCAGCCTAGTGATAGCATAGGAGTCTTAACGTTATCAATTCATGCTTCATTCTACGATATATGCGTCTTCCACTGCGCACGCCACGCTTAGTTGCACTACATGTTTGTCCAGTTGACCACTGTCATGTCGTCCATCAACACGGCTACGCATCAGGAGGTCCCCGCCATTCTGCGTCGCTGCTCATATCGCGCTAATCCTCGGCAAATGTCCCCCGATGATCAAGCACGCATTGCTCTATAGAAGACAATGCTAGTACGAGCGAACTCTCCGTCGATGAGTCCACGGCAGAAACCACATCGGCCCGCGCGACGTTGCAAGAACAATTGGCCCAGACAACAATTGGCGACAAACAGCTACACTTCTACCGGTTCCAATCTGTGTAAGAAAGGGAAACACCCACCCAGGAATTTAATCACGATCATGGCTTCGTGTCAGCGAATGTTATGGACGAACAATCCTTTCCCGAACCGTTGCGTATAACCGTATTCATGGTCGGTCTATATTAAGACCCCGTGCGTACCCAGTTGTGCCGCACATACCCGAGTACCTTCAGCGCAGCTGCCCGAATTGCACTCTCAGATCATTCTCGTCGTCCTTCGCGCATGCTCGCGTGGATTCCTCAGACTTGGGCGTTTCTATAATTCCTTGAGCGTCGGACGATCGCACATGTTTGAGCTGCGTCAATCTGATCACGTTTTCCCGTGCTGCTCGCAGTCTGGCGTCGAACGGGCTTCTATTAGAACAATCCCTCCCGTGACCCGCCGATTAATTCTTCCTACTTATTCCATCATTAGCAGCACGGCCCCTCCTCCTGACTATACGCACCGCTCTGACTCAGGTGCGGCAGAAAAAGGCAGAACCCAATAGACGCAAAGCTACATACTGGAGAAAACTAGGTCCTTTTGAGGTGTGTGGTCATACGTTGAAGACGTAAAAGTAGCTTCGGACATAGACTTCCTTCTGTGTCACGTTGGGCTTCAACCCAACAAAATGATTTGTTTGGGACTTGTCGTGCCTGGCTTTACCAATAGACTCAAAGCTGTAATTGATTTTGCGGCGTCGAACATCTGCGCCTACCTCTGCATTTTCTCCCACTTCAACGGCTTACTATGAGATGGCCGACGGCCACGTCACGTCTCAACCGCCATCATCGTCGATGTGCCCATCACATTGGACAGTTTCGACTCGGTCGAATCGTGAGAGATGGGATTTCATCATCGGGATTACATGGCTGGAGTCACACTAACCAGCATTGGATCCATTGGATGGCGAAATCGGTGCACACGGTCACTCGGCTTAACGCGAGCCAGCCCTGCATTCATCGGTGGGTTGCCTTCCACCTTCCCCCATCCACCACCACTTCGTCTGGTAATACGTTTGCGGCGATGAGAAATGATCTTGGCCCCTCAACCCCCGCGGTGCGCTCGCTGGCCCCAGTGCTGTTGCACCCACATTCCGTTTCCCTAACTGAGTCGCTCGCTGTTCTGTGTGAAGAAACCTGGCGGCAAATGGCGTACCGTCCACGCACAACAAACTGAATACCGCCACCATTCCGGCCCAGATGCCGATCCACTACAAGGACGTCATCATATACGATATGGGTCGATCATCCAACTTTTCGATCATCGACCTCTGTGATGGTTTCTACCAAATCTTGATGAGTCTGTACGACGTACCTTATACGGCGGTTTCAACACCGAGCAGCATGCTCCGGGAGTGGTTGGTTATGCCACAGGGCTTTTCAAACGCCCCAGCGACATTCAACCGCATGGTGACCGCGAAATTTCGGGCCTTCCGCGACTTCACCCCGTTCTATTTCGACGACATCTACGTCCACAGCTGCTCTTCGGGTGTGCAATCTAACCACGGACACCTCCGCCAGGTGCTTGAGGTCCTCCGTGCCTCCGTCCTCAACACCAAACTCACCAAGTGCGTGTTTGGAGTCGACGAAATTCTAGTACTGGGCGACCTGATAGGTGTGAACGGCTGTCGGTATGACCCCGACAAGATTCAGCCCATTTCGGATTGGCCTGTGCCCCCTCCATCAAGGACCTTCGTCACTGGCCTGGCCTTGCGACCTACCTTCACAAATACTCGAGCAATTTCGCGGTCCTTGCTCAGCCGATGTGTGACTTACTCCCCAAGGATGCTCCTTGGATCTGAGGTGCCTTGTGTCAGAAAACCTTCGACGGCCTAAAGCTGATTTTGGCACTTCCAGACTTTGCCAAACCCTTGACCGTTGTCTAGGACACTTCGTAGTATGCCATCTGTTGCTTCTTGATGCTACTGACCCGCCTCGCACGAAAGCCGCCAACTCCATGCGGGTGAGAGGACGTACCCGGTCCATGATTTGGACTTCTGTCAATGAAGTACGCCCTCACCAACTTCCGAATTTGACCTTCTCGGCGCTCAACCATTCGTAATCTTCACGGATCATGCGTCTTTACGCACAGCAATCAATACGCCCAATTTTTCGCAGCGTATGGCACGTTGGATTCCCATTTCCTTCGTCGCCGAATACCGTCCATCTCCAGCATCCTCGTCTTCCCCCGAAGATGGACGGCTCTGTCTTAAGTGGGGAGACATTCTCACGTGGCTCTCCACTGCTGGCGTTCGCCACAACGCCCCCAGCCGCACAATCTAAACCATGAAGAGCTTCCTGACCCGCCGACAATCTGTTATACAACATATTCATGACAGCGTGGCTGCCGCACAGCAGCGCCGAGCGATCCAGGTAAACAAATACGGCCGGTCCAACTTCGCCACATTCGCCGTCGCTGACCAAGTCCTCCTGCACAAATCGGCCGTGCCAGCCCACGAGCTCCGCGCTCGTGCGGCCTGGGTGCCCTCCAACGTAAACTACGCACGGCTTGGCTCGGTTCTTTCACCGTCCAAAGCGTCGTCAGTCCGATGATACGATATTGAACGAATGAGCGAATGTAGTAGACATTTGTCGGTTCAGCAGCGTCAAAGACGTACATGTCTGACAAGTCGCGCCGTTCTTCATTTGCAAAGCCAAGTCAAGGCAAATGTAACGAAATCTCTATGTAATCATTCTTTCTGATTTAATCCATAAGGAGTATGATACCCCATTTCATTGACTGGTTGGTTGGTGATTTGAACACGATTGCTTCGGCCAAAGATACAGTCGCAGAGATAACAAAAGCAGTCTTGGTACAGTACATCTCTCTCGATTTTGGTCATTTTGACGATTTCGTCCGTGGTATTTTGGGAATATGACAATAGCTTGGCCACAACGGATGCAGCTTTCAAAATTTTGACTCGTTCCGCACTTGGGAGGCTTTGCCGTTCATGTTCCAGTGATGCAAACTCCAATGACCCAATCCACCACAAATTCCACATTTCGTAGGTGTTCCCCTCAGGGCACCGTATATCTCGAGGTGCAACTAACGGGCACATGCTGGGGACGGAGTGGTACCAGAGGGAGCATCCAATGAAAGTTCACCGAAGCAGAGTGTCCGCCAGGGCCTCCAAGGTCAGCAAGTAGTTTCTCGCGGAATTGTTGCAACGACTCAGACAACATTACACTCGTCACCGTAATGGAACCACAAAGCAGCTGTGATTCCAATTGCGATGGTACTAGCCGAGGGATGTTGTCGATCTTTTGCATATCTGTCCACCCAAGCGTATCAACACCACGCTCGAGTTTACGAATTCGGTGGGCTAGAGAAGTTAAAGCATGACGCGGGGGGGAGCTCCAGTTGCAAGCAAAATCGTAATTGGATTATACATGACACCCATGTGGGCTAGGTGTCGGAGGCGTTGTAGTACATCCGACTGCCACATGGAGGGCAAGCAGACTGAATGGTTGTGGGGTGAAGTTGCTTTGAGCCAGACTGCGTGGTGGGCTAATGATTCCAGCAAGTACGGAAGCGCAACCTGAAAACACTTCGGATACAAGTCCATGTAACCCGGGAGGAGAGATTTCCATTGGTGGGTTGTGAGCGGGGGGTAGCGTGGCAAACGCTTCGTCGTTAATGTCAAAACCTATGAATTGCAATAATAGTATGCCAAATATTAAAAAAATCGAAAGATTCATATCACGCCAAAACGACCTGCTGCAGCTCGTCCAACAAATTGGTCGCTATCGGAGCCTTAAAAAATGTACCTCGCCTGCACACTACCGAAACTCCGCCAGTCGAAGCCACTTGGACACCGCGTGGGTGGCACCAGGATTATTCGAAAGTGCGATAGGAACCCCTGTTCTGTAGGAATAGGTTCCGATTTCAGACACCAACAGGCATATTTCTGTGATTTCGTCCCGATGAGTTGTGCACGTCTTCATCAATCGCTCCTTCGACCCCGAACCAAGCGAAAGGGTTGGAGAGTCCTTCTGCAGCACACCTCGAGTAAGCACAGCACGGGTGAGGCTAGATAATTAGTTTAATGCTATGTATATTTATAAATCCTTACCTAAGGACCGGGCATATCCATGGACTCTTTGGGATCGCGTAGACATGCTTGGGAATGCATGAATATTCCACTTGGTTGTTTTTCGTCTTGCTAAACTTGATAACAAGGGCGTCATCTAAGCAAAGTAGCCCAGAACATTTCATAAGCTGATTGCTAACCTTTCCACGAAATGTTGTCGAGAATGACACGGGTCTCGCCATCATGTTCCAAGAGAGGACGAGAAACAAGTGGGATACGAGAGTCAAGCTGAAGTCGGACTTTGTCGTAATCGCTGTTTTGGTAAAGTACAAGTATCATATTCCAAATTCATAAAAATGTATTTGTTATACTATAGTAACCTTATGGTAGAATAATGGGTCACCTCCGACCTCACTTGTTATTTGTATGAGATTAATTCAGCGAATCACATAATTATATTCCTGTTCTAACCACTCATGTCACTCTTAGTTTAATTTTCAACCAATAAAGTGCTAGGATTAGGGTAGGGTTAGGTTGGTCATCCAGAATGATCGTCATCTATGAATAATTGGGGGGGGGGTCGGACCTTTGTGGCCATAATGGGTTATGCCTTTACAAACATCAAGTTATACTGATAATGGTGAAATAAATCAACAGGGTCCGACCCATCGTTACAATACTGCCATACAGACTACTGTACTGCTCCTCCAGGCAGGTGGAGGAACAGTCCTACTAGCGTTAGTAGTTACTACTACCTCTGTTCCACGTTACAACCGACACAACTCACTCCAGTAACCCCAAAAATTCATTTTACGGCCAAAATCAATGAGCCCAATCATGTTCAAAAGAGAATCGAAAATGAGAGGGGGTCTACATTGACTGGTAAGGAGGAAAACCAATTTTTGGCGCCCAAATATGATTTCGTCATCGGGCATCAGCAAAAAATTACAAAATAATTATTTTACAATTTGAAATTGAGGGACCTGCACTGATCACCAAGATGGAAACTCCCCGTGTCTGGCGCGAGCTCTCTTATGAGAACAAGATGGAAGTCGTCACCCGGCTGCAGCAACTAACAATCATGGGAAAGTTAGTGCGTGGTGCCATTTCCACCACTGCAAAACACATGCAGTTGCGTCGCACCACTGTCTCCAACGTCTGGGAAGGTTTCAAACGAGTACAGAAACTCTGCACACAAGAATTAGGGACTCACAGGTAGAAAATGGGGAATCATATGAAACTGTAACGTTACAAATA